ATATCTTGACGATCGTGAGAGTGTAACGAAAAACTTTCACGGTATGGAAAATTCTTATCTACGTAATTTAAAAACAAAATAGAAAAATAAATAATGTATATATATATATATAAGAATATCTTTACGGAAGAAACATTTTTTTTCTGTTCAAGGATTTTTACTTTGTTACTGGAAACAGGTACACTTGACTTAATTAAATGGTTTTACCATTACACTTCTAGCTCAGTCGATAATGTAACTTTCTTCACATATATTACAAAAAAAAAAGAAAAATATTATTCGTAACACTTAAATTACATTATTTTCATCTCATAACTAATGCATTAAAACATATAAATCTATCTCATAATTGAGATTACGATGAGTAACAACTTTCTATTGGTTATTTTTATTTTTATTTTTTAATTTCCCTATCTCACTAGTAAAATTAATACCTGGGGTCTCGTCCTTCAAACCAGGAAAAACTTTTCTAAGTAACCTTTATAATAAAAAGGATGAAACCCTTGGGGAAATACGGAGTCAATTAATAATAAATAAACGGTTAGAAAAAGAAGAAGAAGAAGAAGAAGAAGAAAGGAACAAACAAACAAAAATAGAAAAGAATTGTGAAAGAGAAAATAGAGAGTTGGGATGAGGAAAAGAAAGTAACTAAATCTCCTGTGTGTGTATGTGTGTGTTTTGTATCCTATGTAGAATGAAATAGAATGTAGAAATGAAGATGATTATGTCCCTAGTGAAGATCAATGGGGAAAATGGCAGTCGCTTGAAAGGAAATATGACGACAACGATGGGAATAGTCTTTTAACGGTTGAATGCATCAACGATTCAGATAAAACTATTGGTAGTAGAATGACGCTTGTAAACAAACGTGTAGGACGACGAAATAATGTCTTGAGTGTGATGAAGTGAGGCGCCAGGAAGGCGCCATTCCTCCTAACATCGATCGACTTTTTTCTTTTCTTTTCTTTTCTTTTCTCATCTTTTCTTCTCTCTCTCTCTCTCTCTCTCTCTCTCTCTCTCTTTATTTCTCTCGTAATTCCCCTTAGCTTGCTCGAAAGGAAAACAAGTTCGATTGAGTCCTGGCGCCAACACAGGATCTTCACTTTCTATTCTCAACTTGATATTATTTACTTTTTTTTTTCTTCTTTTTCTTTTTTCTTTTCTTTTCTTTTCTTTTCTTTTCTTTTATTTTCTTTTCTTTCCCTCATCATTTGATTCTTTTCTTTCATCCTTCGCATAAAACAATATATTGTTTGTTAGAAATATAGGCTGAAAATAGGTTATGTTATATATCTTTTCTTTTTTTATTTAAACGAAGATAATTATCTTCTTGAATTAACAATCAGAGATATAATTATACTGTTGTTAATTGTTTAAGGAAGAAAAAAATCTAAATCAAAAACATTGTCGAGAATATCGAACGAATAATCGATGAGGAAGAAGTTGTGAATAATCACGTGACGCGTACCACGCCCTCTTTAAAAAAAAAAAATAGGCGCCATATTTAAATCTTCCTATCATCCTTTCCAAATTGAGGTGGGGTTTTATTTTCTTTTTTTTTTCTAATTAAAATATTCGCCTCGGATGACATGTATGGCGTAATTAAGATATTCTCATATATATTATTTAAATATAAATAACTACTCTCACATTAGAGGTTAAAAACATCTTATAATTAAATTTAAAAAAGTATATAATCAAGTAAATTTATTACAATTTCCAAAAACTTTCTTTGATCAAAATATTATTATTTTTCACTAATTGTAATACGATTGAAACAAAAGCCCGCGAAATCTTTCCGGTTCCTTTCTTTCATCAAAAGTTTGGCTCGAAACGCTTCTTCAAAAAGTTTATTATGTGTTTTAACAATGTTACATGACTAATAAATTAGATTGTAAATGAAATTTCAGATTATTTTACATCGTGTATATAGTTCCGTTACTTTCCAATTTTATACCATGCATAAATCATACCTATATACTTATATATACACAAAGATGCTCTCCAACCACGCCTTAGTGTGGCTATGTTATAAAATACTTTGATTTAATATAATTCTAAATTATTAAATAAAATCAAATTAATATTCACTAATAATTTCTGGGAATTAAAATTAGACATGAAACAAGCAAATTTTTAATATATAATATATAAATAACAACACAATTAGAATAAAATACATAAAATAATAAAAAGTAAGACTAGTTAGGTCATATGTAAATCTGAAAAAAAAAACGTGAAATAATTGAATTGTAATACAGCGTTATCTATTGAAAACTTCCAGTACCTCAAGACCTAGATAACCTCTAAATAATAAATCTTTAAATTAGCAATACAAAATAAAAATAATCTCGATAAAAACTATCCTATATTCTAAGTTGGAACAAATCACACAAAATAAAAAGAAATTTCATTAAGATTGGTTGAACAGTTTCGAAGTTATTAGTAGACAAACATATTGTGACACTGAATTTTTATATATAAAGAAGATATATATATACGTATGTATTATTGTAAGAAATATTTTTAAAAATAGAGAGAGAAAGAAAGAAAGAGAAGCCGGTATTGTTGAAAGAGAGTCGCGCAGAATTGATTTGCGGGGGCAGAGCGGAATATTGATTGTCGCAGAGAGACTCTCTCTCTCGCAATGTATACAAGAAGAGCGAGATTGTGTGAAAAGAGAAGGAGAAGGGGGTAGGGTGTGGGGGAGGGGCCGAACAGTCAGCTGACTTGAGTTGCCGGTTTCACACAGCTGATCCATTGGCGGCGCAACCACCGTCGCATTGCCGCTCTCTTGCCCCACCTCAACAACCCCCTACTTTCCCCTTTCATCCGCCCTTTTTATCCATCCCTTAAATATAACCTCTCTTCAACACGCCATATATTACACATATACATATATGTTCACCATATGTCATAACAAATAATTCAAAATTGCCAATTTCGTGGCCCAATATGGTTTTTATCTTTTATTTGCTTTTTGATACTTTTCATTGGTTGGTTTAATTATTTTTTTTTTTTTTTTTTTTTTTTAAGTAGATAAATGATAGTTTAACCCTTCGAGTATTGAATACTTTTAATTAACATTAGATTACCGCCATTTTCAGTATACTTATTTCTACAACACTAGTCAACATGACTGGTGTATTAAAAAATGCTTTTTGAGACTTCCAGTCTTTATTTACTCTTAAAAAATAACAAAAAAATGTTTAACAATAATAATTTTAATAGATAAATGGATTTATAAGCATTTTTACATAACAAAACGGTTAATTATTTACAAAAATGTTACATGAAGTAAAAATTTTGAATTAAAATGACCCGAACAGTCAAAATGACTGGTCTGGTATATCTAATGTTAAAGTGTTTTGAAATAGAATAATAATTTATATTTAAATAATTTATAACTTTTTGTTTTTGTTAATGTAATTTTCATGTGACAAGACATTAAACAATAATTTATACATAGTAAAAAACATTACATTATTTTACATAATTATTGATAAACATGTTACATGTGTCGATGATATAGATCATGTTGACAACTTTTACCAAACGCATATATGCGTCAATAGCAGACAAAGGATTAATAATTGTTTGAACAATAATTGAGCTTTAGAAATATGTAGAATGAATGAGGTATTCAGTTTTGATTTTTCTTTCATTTTAAATATTCATACGGTACTTTCTTTCCCTCTGTTTTCTCACTTTCTTTTGACTAAATTATAGATTCATTTATTCTTCATTGTAAAATAATAAAATGATATATTTTTTTCTTGATCTTTCGTGGGAATATTCCTTCAGTATTTGCTGCAGAATCGCGGCGTCACGATGCAGTGTAGGACCAAAACTGGTACGCGTCGAATCTCTCTCTCTCTCTTTCTCTCTCTCACACCCTTTTTCTTCCCTTTCTCTCTCTCTATCTTTCTCGGCAGTCGCATACGAAGCCTCCACGAGGTACGTCAGTCTCTCGTTGTCTCAAAGACGTCGAGACATAAGATTTTTTCTTTTTTGGTGCTCGGTACCGATCTTCATCTTCTTCCACTTCTTCTTCTTCTTCCTCTTCTTGTCTTTTACGTGTCTTTTAGATTGTTTATTTATTTATTCATTTTATTTTTGTGATTTTGACGAGTGAATAAAATATTCTTTCCTTTTATTTCGTTCTTTCTCCCTTTATATATATATTTAACCTTTTAGGCATTACACACCACTATAGTGGCTTTCGCGAATTTCATCTTCTAGTACGACGCGCCACTATAGTTGCTTTCGCTGATAACATCTTCTAGTACAACGTGCCACTATATTGGTTTTCACGCGTGCCATCTTCCAGTACTACGCGCCACTATACTGGCTTTCGTTGATAACATCTTCCAGTAGGACGCGCCACTATAGTGCCTTTCGCGCAAATAATATCTTTTAAAATATATTATACCTTATTTTATTATTAATTATTAAAGTAAACTGTAAGTTAAAGTATATGTGTATCCATTTCTTTGAGAAAAATTATAATTTAATCATGAAAAACTTCATTAAAATGTTTTCGCGTAAAGAACACAGCCATTGTTCGATCACACATCGTAGTTTTTATCGTTTACACATAATTCTCGTTGAACTTTGCCGTAGAGAGAAGCATTCTTCAGCCGTGCCCAAGAGGTTAAACAATTGTTTTGTTCGTCAATTTTTAATCTAACACTTTCTTCTTAACCTTGAAAATCCTCTTCTCCTTTTCTCTTGTTTTAATTTTTTAGTTCGATTCGTTGATATTAACAATTTCAATCAAATCTTTCTCTCAGCTAGTCAACGTTCTGTACTTTCGAGTTTAATCTGAAAAATAATAATAATAATAACTATGACGACAACGATGATGATGATGATAATGATGATGATAATGATGATGATGATGGTAACAATAATAGAAAATCGTTTAATGTGAAAGTTCAATCGATCGAAACCTCTCCAAATGGCATTCAAATCAAATTCTAACAAATAAAAATATAAAGAAAGAAGAAGATAACAGCTCTACGTCAGTGGTGGTGTAGTCTTCGTGGTAATATCTCAGAGACTGTTTTGGCGTGAATCCAGACAATTGGAAAAGCATCCTAACCTAAAAAAAGAAAAGAAAGAAAAGAAAAAGAAATGAGAAAGATATAAAGTAATGGATTGAGAAAATGATTAGAGAATTCTTCTTCTCATTTTCAAAACAATCTCAAAAGCTTTAAAAAACTTTGTTAATTTAAAAAAAAAAAGAAAAAAGCTAAAAAAAGAAGTAATCAACAAATATGGCTGAAAGAAGTAGTAACAGATCAAGAAGAAGATACTATAAAAGACTTACGAACTTATCGAAACTCTTGTTTTTGCATCGACCCTAAATAATAAAAATATTCCAACAATTTAAATTAATATAAAATTTAAATAGAAATATAAAAAGGGGGTGGGATAATAAAAAATCCTTTTTTTAAAAAGATTAAGAACCTCGAAGTGAGCTCCGAGCAATTGGCGTAAAAAATCGTCAGTCGCTCAAAAGCTACATAGAGGTTCGATGAGAACTAATCCAAGATTTGGTGCATACCGAGTGTACGTGAAAAAATCCTTGGCCACGACGTCCTCCGTGGTATCGTCGGTGGCCCGCCGAAGAGGTCATCCTCGGCAGCTACTATAACGGCTACTACGGTGACGTCGGCCTCAGGGACAATGTTACGTTCACCTGCTCGAGTTGTACTCCATCAGGAGGGGGGAAACAACGTAACTTCAGGTGTATCATCGTCCTCATCGACGATGTCAGCACCTGCCACTCCTGTTCATTACGGTGGTGGTGGTGGTGGTGGTAGTAGTAGTACAACAACAACTACCCCAGCAAGCTCATCTTCCCGACTTTCCCTTCTCGACACCTGCCACAGGAAAATCAGGCTCTTCGGTGAACTCGTCGCGTGAGTCCAGTCCGAACGATCTCGTGTCTCTTCTTCTTTTAGATGGCCTGATAAAATAAAATAAAAACAAAATACAGACGGTGGGAGACGCTTCGAAAGTACAAAACCTAAACAAAAAAATTATATATATATATATATGATGAAAGTTATTTTCCAAACCAGTGGTGATTGTGAGCTTAATCACAATAACATGCATTTTGAAATTAACCTTTTAGGCAGCACTACGCGCCACTATAGTGGCTTTCGCGGATAACATCTTTTAAAATATATTGGGTTGGCAAGAAAGTAATTTCGGTTTTTTAGTGTGAATTAAAACTCAATTGTTTCTATACAAAAAATGAACTTTAAATTAAATAACTAAAAAATTCTAACATTAACAAAAAAAATAACGAAACAAACATAACGCTATCTATTGGTACAAGCCGAAATTACTTTCTTGTCAACCCAATATTATACCTTATTTTATTATTAATTATTAAAATAAATTGTTCAAGTTAAAGTATATGTGTATCATTTCTTTGAAAAAAATTATAATTTAATTTTAACAAACATTCAGCCGTGCCTAAGAGGTTATGTCAATTTATATAAGAACCTTTTTTTTCAAATCAGTGGTTATCAAATTGATATTAATGCTGATGGTGATCAAAATAATGTTTATAAATTTCAATCTTGTAAACCAATCTCGTTTTTCTTTCAATAATTAAAAAAATAATCGAAGCGTTTCTTCAAAAAATGTCTACCCAAAATACACATAAATATATATATCATATTTATAAATGTATACATATATTTATATATGTATATATATTTGCTCTATTTTTGTCCTGCGAATATGTGCAGCAAAAATTTCATTTCTATGTCAATTATGTTATATTTCACTTTTGCATGGCGACCACCAAAGCAATTCGAAAAAAAAAAGAAAATCCTCTTCGTCATCGTTGTCGTTTACTTCGTCGTTTTCGTCGTCACGTTGCGTCTTCGTCGTCGCCATTTTGTTGCGCTTCTTCTTTTGCATTTTGCCAATTTTTGCCCGAAACGAACTTTATTTGCGCAAAATTAAAACAAAATACAAAATAAAATGATTTTAATCAGTTTAACATGGCTTTTGCTTGTTTGCGAATGAAAAATAAAAATAAAAAGGAGAGAAGGAGTAAAGAGGAGGGGGTCGAGAAACGCCATGTTTATTTTGTTCCATCATTTTGCGATTTCTTCATTACTGGGTGCCATTATTACCAATTTAAGGAATGTGGCTTTATTCTGACTGGCGGCATGCGCTTTTTTTTCTTGTTAGAAAAAGAACAATAAAAAATCATACAAATTTATTATTATTAATCTTCATGTTTGGTATGTACATAATATACGTATGTATGCATATATGTATGTATGTATATGTACTTTTGGCCTGTCGTAGACGTGAACAAATATATTAATTTCGCTACTAATAAATTTTGCATGCGAGATAAATTTGCATTTTACGATGACCAATTGGAAATCGTTAAAAACACTCTTACACCTATGAGATATCGTTCGATTGGTTAAAAGAAGAAAACAACATGGTGTCCGTAATTAAAAATGGCGCGCGGTTATAAAATTCGTTTTTTTTTTTTTTAAATATAAGCACATATCGATAAATGTTTACATCCGTCTTTAAACCATTATTATTATAATTATATTATTATTATTATATTATTAATTATATAATATGACAAGATAAATATATCGTTCGCCATATTAATGTGTTCATTGTATTTAAACACAAGTAACAATAAAATTTATCAAGATTTATCCTACATTGTGGTTTTGTGTCCGTAACACCTAAAATGAAATTAAAAAAATATATATTAATTCATATTTTGTTAATACACACATGCACACACACACATACAAACACAAACACTACAATCAAACAAAAAAAAAGAAAATTTGATTGTTAGGTTATGATTTTCTCAATTTCAAAGCATAACATACCCATACACACACACACACACAGACAAAATTTGGTATATGCCGCTCGTTTTTATCTGTAGATTTAAATCGTCTCGTTAGAAAAAAAAAGAAAAAAAAATAGAGAGAAGGAAAGAAAAAAAAATAAATGTTAGTAAAAAAAAAAAAGATGACATTAATGAATGAGAATAATGGAAATGTATGGTGAATGGTGTGTTAATGATTTCAGAAAAGCCCGACGAAAGGAGAAAGATGCGGGTACTACAGAAGATCCTAAACTCTATTTGGAGGAGGCGGCTTTAGAAAGACAGCTGCCCGAATTGGATTTAAGGATGTTAGTTGATTTGCCACCGGGTTTGGATTATAACGAGTGGTTGGCATCACATACCCTCGCACTGTTCGATCATATTAATCTCGTTTATGGCACTATATCTGAGTTCTGCACTATGACTGGTTGTCCAGATATGACTGGTCCCGGCCTGAGGTATGTGTGGTGATATATTTGGGTTGTCCGGAAAATTCGTGTCGATTTTGATTGAAGATTGAAATGTTTTGCGATTTAAGTTCTTTTTTTTTATATATTTATTAAATTAAGTATAAGTGTCATTCTATTTCACAACCCTTTTTCCATCTTTAAGAGTAACTTCAAAATTTCGTCCTTCCAACACTTCTCAGGTTTTTTTTAGCAAAAGTACTTTAACGCCATCTACCGGAAATCGGCACGAACTTTCCGGACAACCTAACTTTTATGTAATTCTTTAATTGACTTATTTGAGACCATGATTTTATTCAAACACGGTTCCCAGAAGCCATTTCTTTTATTTTTTCATTATATTGCTAATTTTAGCAATGTTAAATTTTGTTTTTCTATTACTTTAAAGATACTATTTATATTAGTGGGACCAGAAAATAATGTCGTTTCTACGCATGTCAATTTTTATATTTTAATCAAAAACCAATTGATTTTTATCTGTACGGTATTAACACTAGATATATCAGACCAGTCATTTTGACTGTGTGACGCCATTTTAATTCAAAATGTCTACTTCATGTAACATTTGAGTTCTGTAAATAATTAAGCGTTTTGTTATTTAAAAATGTCTATAAATCTATTTATGTATTAAAATTATTATTGTTAAACATTTTTTGGTTATTTTTTAAGAGTAAATAAAGACCGAAAGCCTCAAAAAGCATTTTTTTTTTATACATCAGTCATTTTGACTTGTGTGGTAGAAATAGGTATAATGAAAATGGTGGTATATCTAGTGTTAAAAATTTGCATATTAAATGAAAAAAGGTTATTGATAACGAGGTTGATTATGTTATTGATTAAAAATAAAAAGTTGTTAAAAATGTATTCATTTGAATTTAAGGTTAGAAAACGACATTACTTTTCTGTCCACCTAATACAAAACAAAATGTCTGATCTCGACGAATACTTTAGTCAAAATAATTGATAATAGTTCAGTATAATTGCACTATACGGTGTTCAAATGGGTCTCGAATGGGTTATAATTTATATATATATATAATTATTAAATAAAACAGTAATAATAAAAATGTATATATTTGCAGGACGTATTTATGGTTTGACGAGAAGGGTAAAAAAACGAGGGTAGCAGCGCCACAGTATATAGATTATGTTATGACATTCACACAACGCACCGTTAGCGATGAAACTATATTTCCTACTAAATATGGTAAGTTCTTGAATGATAATACGTTTACAATTATTATCTAGCTAATTGATAAGCTGAATAATAATTTTACAATTTATCTGAACAAATATTTATTTATATTTGAGGTATAATTAAGTTGTCTCCAAAGTTTCTTGATTTTGCTCAAAAGAACTAGATTTTGCGCGCGAATGATTCAAACATTGAAATAATTATGAAATAATGAATTGCATCAAATATAAAAAAAAACATGAACTATATTTAATGATAATTAAAAATTTATATTAAAATAGAATAGGTTACACGAAAAAATTATTATAAATTCAAGCGGTCCTCCAAAATTTTCAGCCAATGGCACATGAGCTGAATATGAATGGCGTATCCCTCCTACAGGATCCCTACTAGAGATCCCAATACAATATTGTTTAACTTATTATCAAGAACAAAATGGAAGAAATTTTCGAGACGACTTAACCTATAAATATATATATATATTTTTTTTTTATTATTATTATTATTATTATTATATATTATTCTTGTTGTCGTATATAATATATATTATATTTATTATTTATGTTATTATATATTAAATTTATAATATATAATTTTAATATATTAATATTTAATTGATATTAATATCTATTATATTTATATTAATATATAATACTAATTATATTATTTTTTTTTATTTATTTATTATATTTATTATTTATTATTATATATTAAATTTATATTAATATATAATTAATATTAATAAAAATTAAAATTAATAGATAATATTAATATATATTATATTATATTCTTTGTTATTTATATATTATATTTATTATTTATTATTATATATATTATTATATTTATATACATTATATGTGTATATATATTATGAATGTATATGTATCATATATATATATATATATATATATATCTATGGTTAATTATTAATTGGTTTTGTCCATTTTGTTTTGTCCAGCGAATGAATTTCCAAGTTCGTTCGAATCAATAGTGCGTAAGATCCTGCGGCTACTGTACCACGTGGTGGCACACATTTACCACTGCCACTTCCGAGAGGTGGCACTCTTGGGGTTGCATGCTCACCTCAATTGTGTATTTGCTCACCTCACTCTCCTTAATCAACGCTTCAATCTTATCGATCCGAAGGAAACGGAAATCCTAGGAGACTTAGAGGCTGCTCTCTTGGGTAAAATTATCTCATCTTCGACAAGTACACAATCGCATAACATATATCAGAAATTTAATCTGAAATTATTAAAGACGAGAAGAGGGACAAATTTGCCTGATTAGATTTTAGAATTACGTAATAATAATAATACTTACTTTTAAAAGACAATCCATATATTATACATAAAATATTCCAATGAAAAATGATCGTTTGATATGCTTTCAATTATTATTATTATTATTATTGTTATCATTATTATTATTATTATTATTATTATTTAGGTGACTCATCATCCACGCCTTCGCAAACTTTAGCCATCCAGGAGACTCCGACGACCACAAACAGCTAGATGATCACAATGCACAGCATGCCAGAGGTTGCAGTTCCTGAGACTAGGTGACGATAGGCGGTTTGGTTTTGGTTTCTTAAAAAAATAAAAATAGAAGAGGATATTACGTGAAAAAGAAAGTTTACACAAATGGGAAAAAAAAGAAGAAGATTACACTTAATATTATTACACGACGCATGCACACATTATACACACACATACATACATACATGCATACACAAACACACGCATACAAATATACACTGGAAAAAAAAGTGGAGCGATTCTGTAAAAACCAAGTAGTACCTGTAAATAGCGAAGTGTGAGAACTACACAACTACTACTACTACAATGATGTAATTAGGGTTCCTCCGTTTGTTGTTTGTGAGATTGTACATAATTTATTAATAACGATAAGATATATATTATGAGGAAAGGAAGAAGAAAAGAAGAAGAAGAAGAAGAAGAATAAGAAGAAGGAGATAAGATAAATTCATTAATGATTATATTGATGAAAAAATTAGTTGACGAAATATATGAGAGATCATTTGTTCCGTAAAAAAAAAAAAAAACAAAAAAAAAATAAATGAACCAATAAGAAATATTGTAAAGTTTAAAGAGAGTAATACCAAATATATACCTGGTGTTAAGGTAACAACAACATCCTGTTATTTTCATGTTGAAGAAACGATCATCGTAACCGTTTTCATCTCTCGGACTTGTTGTAAATCCTTTTATTGGCCGTAATAAAATTTTCTTCCAAATTATTCCCTCATTTTCGGTGATTATGCCGATTTTTTGGCCATACGTTTTAAAATGATTTTGTTTATCACGTTTTCAAGTAGGTGATGAAGAATTCTTATTATCATAATTAATCTCGATTATTCTAATAGATTTACAAAGATTAGCAATCTCTCTTAAAAATAAACCAATTGCTTCTGCCAACGGTTCGCTAAGATCTTTTATAGATGTTGCTATATTGTATAAGAGTATTAAAATCGGTTGTATCAATGCGTTAAATATTATCGATAATAGAGGCTTCACGAAATAATCTGCAAATAATTGCAATATACCAACAGTCAATGGACGTATAAGACTGAACAGTATGAATCTTATGAATTGTAGAATAAAAGCTGTTATAAATGCTGTTCCTATGTGAATCGTGCCAAATATTTCAGCCCAAAAACGTGTTGCCGCTTGATCCGTTTTTTCAGCACATTTATCTGTCATTAATATCGGTGGTGAATCCGTTGTTCGATAATATCTAATAACATGAAACCAAAAAAAAAAAAAGAAATATTTATTTATTCATTACGTTGATTTCTTTTTTTTTATGTAATGTAAATTAAAATTTTTTAAATTTAAAATTTAAATATGGACAAAAGGAGTACGATACTTGAGCTACGTAGTATTCGATTGAGTGGCGCCAAATTAAAAAATAAATATTCAAATCTTACGCAGAATTTCCGTGATCGAAGTAATAAATGTCGATTCTTTCGACGAGATTTTGTCTTTTATCTTGTAATTTGTCACCGTGAAATTTTATTCTTTCTTCGATCTTCATTTTTGGATTATCATTTGTAATTTTATTCGAAGGCTATAAATTTGAGGTTATACATTTTTTCCTTTTTAAATGTTTTAAAACTTTTTGCGTTCAACAATTGTATTATATAAATTAAAATTAATTCAAACCTTCACATGAAATGTATTCTTCTCACGTTCTAATTTATTTTCGTAAGATCTACTTCTGTCGTGGAGATATTTTTTATGTGACCATTTGCAACGAAAACGTGACCAAAATGAACGACGACGTCTACGTCGATCACCTGAACAGAAAAATAATTTAAAAGAATATAACTTTAAAGATAAAAAAAAGAAACACATTTAAAGAGATTTAATGATATAAATACTTGCCTTTAATATATTTCGTTGGTAATGTACAACCACTGCTAAAAAAAGATTAACATCAATTTTTTTTTCCAAATTTTGATCATTTATTTGTTAATATTACCACAGGTACGTATATATATATATATTATTATTACATTCTTTGGGAATGGCAATAGCAAGGTATCACAGGCTCGCATTGCCTTATTTTACGATGATTTGTTACTTCTTGAGATTCTTGATTAATTATAGGCTCTATAAAATAAAAAAGAAACATATTTTAATCGATGGCACATCGAATCTGAATATATTTTTCATTGTTATTATAAACATTGTATTTTTTTTTTTCTTGTATTTTTTGTTGTGACTAATATTATTCCCTGTAAAAAAAGAAAATAAATCAAATTAATAAACCGTGTAACTTCATATACGCCATATTGGATTCGTAATATAATATGTTAATGTATAATTGAATTTCATTGAAATTGTACCATATTATATAGTCATACTTTGATTAGATTCTTCGATTGATTTATTCTCTTCTTTATTAATTTTTTCATAAGATTCGTAAGAATTTATCATCGAACTTATGTCGGTACGTAAAGATGTTAGGTTCGAAGGTTCAGATGTATCCGTACAAGGACATTCTTCTTCCGAAGTCATTTTATGTTTTTTTTTCCTTTCCTTTCCTTTTTCTTTTCAACTAACAATTAAAAACATATTTTTATTCAACATGAAAAACTTTGAACTCAAACTAAACATTAATTAACACAAAAATAGTATTGTCAAAAAATGACAATAAACGAAACTGAACTGCGTAGTAGTGCGCCACCTGACCGCGCGACATTTGAAAAATATTTAACTACATTCAAGTAAGTGATTTATAGAAAAATCAATAAATAAATTATTTTATCTTACTGTATCAGTGTATAATAATTATGTTATAAAAATATTACTTTTACTTTTTTATAAAATATATCAAATATATATCATCGTACTGTTTTTCTTTTTTTATTTATACAGAATTAATAACTTACGCTCCATTGATTTGCTGAAATACTTAACGATATATAATACATATCTCATTATACGAACATTTTGATATAAAATTAATTATGTCTAATTTTATATATATATATAATTTAAAAAGGAATCTCGGTATGTTTTCGATCAAAATCTAAATTATTGTTATTAAATAATAATGATATATATATATATAATAAGAATAACTAGACTAGAAGAGAGAACATACAAAATTGAACATAGTTTTATATTACATAAAGATAAAATGTAAATATTTATATAAAGTAATTTGTGATAATTGGTGTTTTCTAATTATATATATATCTGGTTCGATAAAATGCATAATATTAAAGCATGCATGTGTATAAACGACGATAGATTTAAATTACATTGACATAGAGAATATTTATTTAAAACCGCACGTACGTGTTTGTCTGTATATTGTATATATATATATAGATGTATATTTAATTTGTTGGTAATTTAAGATAAATATACTTGTATATTTTCAATTTTTGTACATATGTTTCTTAGCGATTCTGTACAAGCGCGTTAAAATGTAAAAGATCATATAAATTTATGTTATATATTGAGTATCATGCTGAACAATGCTTTCCTAAAGTGTTCGTCTAAGTATGGAAACAGCAAAATTACATATCTGTTATATTATGTAAACTCTATGAAGAGTATTAGATAAAACTATACAGAATTTACATAAAATAATCAGTCGCATATAAGTTAAAAATAATAATAATAATAATAATAATAATCTCTAAGAGTCCAGTGCCAAGGTTGTTATCTCTTTTATGTTTCATCTGCTTTTTTTTTTCTTTTCATACTTATAACGCACAATTATTTCTTATTATATTTTTTAAATCTTGCTATTATTCTCAGGCACTGTGTCCGATTAGGTAAAGAGATATTTAAGAAACATTTGTACAGCATTATATTGCTTTCTGTTTAATTAATTACTACAATTACGATATATATATATAACTAGATTTTTAATATTTTAATATATTGCATTTTATAAAGAAATATTATTGTTGAGTTGTCCTCCAATTGTAATTGTTGACAATATGAAACTCTTTCTAGATTATGAAATTAATAAAAAATACTCTTTTAAATCATCGGAATTTATCATTTATATTATTCTTGAATAGAATATTAACAACACGATTTATATTCCGATTATTCGATTATGCGTGTACATCATTTTTACTTATCGTACAAAATAATGATTATAATTATAGAGATGGAAATTCGGTTTTACAAAGTATAATATTATTTCATTTCAATACAATGATAATTTATTTTAAAAGAGTTTTATCGAGAAAATTCTTACTATATATATATATATATATGTGATTTACATTTTGAAATAATTCTTAAGCGCCACAACAACAAATAATTGTGATAGTCAATAATAAAATGAATATTTTTAAAATAAATATTCAACGTTATAATGCATTGAGAGACAATTATTGTTACATCATTGTATATATATATATATTAGATTGCAATACACATTTAACTTTTGGAATGTATATAAGAAATAATTTTGATTTTTCAGTCAAATGCGTAATTAATCCTTAATTAATAATTACATTAAAAACAATAATAATAATAATAATAATAAAAAGTTTATAAGAAAAGAAATAGTGAACATAAAAAATTGCTATAAACTAGCTAGAAATACTATAATAAATTTTCTACTAAATTTTCTTTTTCTTTCTTGTCCTTTTACACACAATTGCCACATATATATCCTTAGATATATATTATTACATAAATAATAGAATATTTTTTGTTTCCTTTTCTTTTTCTTATTTTCTTATTCGCAGTATAACAAATATGTTTAGTGAGAATATTTATAATTTGTTATTATTGTTATTGTTGTTATTCTCATTAATACACGTGTATAAATATAAATATAGTATTATAGCGTTTGTTTGTTTGTTTTTTTTTTTTTTCGTTATTTAAGTACAACCTCTCTACAAGATTTGTAATAATAGCACATATCGTTTTCTAATTTACATTAACATTGATAATTCTTTCAACGTATTTTATTTTCTTTTTTTTCTTTCTTTTTTTCAATAGATAAAAATTTGACTTTGGCAAAACACTTTTTGTTGCATGCCAAAAAGTTTACTTCACATTTTACCAATGATTTTTTGAATAGGACATATATCCTGTATATACTTTTGTAAATACAATATCATTAGGAGAGTTTTCTTTTTTTTTGTTGTTGATTTTTTTTTGTCTATAAGTACAAATAAATATTGCGAATAGTTATAATTATTAATGATTAATTACATTACGTGATATTATAATCTTAATCTCAATTAATGAGGATATAATTTAATGAACTACTAGTAGTACTAATAACAGTTTAAATGAACAAATTGTTTCTTTTTTTTTTCTTTTTTTTTCTTAATAATTCTCGGTGTGTGTTGTTTTTTACATCTCTTTATAATAATAATTATGTTTAACATATTAAATCAATTGTCAATTTTTTTTTCTTTAAATAACGCATTTCACATTATTCGATTATTATTATGATTATTATTATAATAATCGAGATGAATTTTTCATTTATACAAAATCCTTTCGACAATTTCAATTACACGTAAATAACGAATTTTGTTGAATGATTACATTAATAAGTAAAAGTTATATAATTAACTTATGTGTATGTGTGTGTGTGTGTGTGTTGTGTTATGATGTATAAGTATATATCTACTATGTGTATGTGCACTTATGTATATGCAGTATATATACATATATTTTAAAAGTATTGAACAATGTCGTTTTTTTAACTGAGGGTCTAGATTAGATAACGTTTTTGTTACCATTGTCAGATTATAAGATGAACAAAGGCACAGTAAAGCAATAAAATGTGAGATCTTACTGTGGCCATGTAGCCTCCTCCCTTCCTCCCTTCCTCCTCCCCCCTACCCCATATCATATGGATATAATAATTAATTATGTTTTTGTTTGTTTATTTGCATAGTAATATTCATGCATATCTCTGACATTATAAGTTAACTAAATAACTTCTATTAATCTAGAACCCGTAACATTGTTTTTAATAATCTCTATTCATTTGATAGAGTTGTTTAACTCTTGTTTTATCTGTATAATTATAGATTTTCACAATACAGATCTTATTACTTTTTATTTTTATTTTATTTTATTTTATTTTTTTTTTATATAGAATTGCAATATCCTTGATGATATTAATCTATTTTTTATATTTTTTATTTTTTTTTTTTTGACTAAGTATTTCAAATGAATTTCTATTTAGAATAATGGCAAGACATTTGTATTTACAAATATTACAGAATAATAAAATAATTACAAAGAGATATACGATTATATATATATATATTATGTGTGTGTATATATGTGTATATGTGTGTATTATATGTATACGTATATGTATATATATGGATTAAAAAAAAGAAAAAAAAAATCACTTGAATTACAATAAACTTTCTATACAATTAAAAATACACTTATCAACAAATCATGGAAAATATAATCTCAATAATGAATTAAAATATAATTGCTAAGATAATAACCCTTCTGATAGAAGGAAAATGATATTTTTTTAATTGTGCATATTACTCCGTTGTAAAACTTATATCATGGGATATGCATGTTTGTGACCACAAACAGTCTTTTAAAGTAGACCAAATATTAAACTCTTATATATATATATATATAATCTATCACTGGATTCGACTACTTAGAATATATCTATATATAATGTAAATAATAATAATAATAATAATAGTAATAATAGTAATAATAATAATAATAATAATAATAATGCAATTAATTACTGTTTTATGAAAGATCACTTACATTTTCACAATGATTCTTTGGTGGGCCAGAAGTTCAGGTATTTGATATGGCATATATATATTTTAGCTTCTAACGGCTAGATTTTGTAATCCTGTCAAATGAAAAAATAATTTTCAGTTGACAATATTATTTATCATTATTATCATATCAATATTTTAAACGTATTGAAAATTTTCTTTCGCAGCGAGTAATGGTAATTTTTCGATACTCTGCTTAAGATCAAAACTGTGTAGCCAATCTGAACTTGGTTTTGCCTTTACTCCGCAAAAACTAAAGTTGCAAAAATCCGCAGCATTTTGTAAAGCTCCACGATGAAACGGATTGCCTTGTTTGAAATGTGTATAACGTCCAGCATTCATTCTTTCATTTGTAGTCATTCCAAGTACCATGATCTATAAAATGTTAATATTATTTATACAAAATAAATAACTAAGAAATTCAATTGATTGCTATCTACGTAGGTTGAAACTTATTGGGTTGTTCGGAAAATAATTTCGTTTTTTCTCGACAGAGGATTTAATTGTATTTTTTCTAACCCAACTTCATACTTAAGCCGCATAATCATTATATGTTTTGAGAGCTGATATAGCAAGGCTTGTGTGTGAAAAAGTTCAATTAATTCTACGCAGTAGCTTTTGGTTGGTGCCCTTTTAAATATGGAGAACAATAAGCAGCATTTTCGTCATATTTTACTTTTTACTATAGAAAAGGTAAAAATGCTGTTCAAGCCAGAAAGAAATTAACCGATGTGTATGAAGAAGATGTGTTGACAGTACAACAGTGCCAGAACAACTGGTTTGCAAAATTTCGATCCGGCAATTTTGATGTCGAAGATGCACCAAGTTCCGGAAGGCCGGTTGAAGCTGATAATAACACAATAAAGGCATTAGTTGATGCAAATCGGCGAATAACAACACGTGAGATCGGTGAGAGGTTTAATTTATCGAATTCAACTGTTTATGACCACTTGAAAGGCCTGGGTTTAACCTCGAAGCTCTCGATATATGGATTCCCCATGTTCTCACGGAGAGAAATTTGTGTCGTCGCGTTGACGTCTGTGATTCGCTTCTCAAACGTCACGAAAATGATTCATTTTTGAGCGTATCATTACTGGGGACGAAAAATGGGTTGTATATAACAATGTCAAACGCAAGAGATCATGGAGCAAAAAAGATGAACCGGTTCAAAGCATTTCGAAAGCCAATATCCATCAAAAAAAGGTGATGCTGTCTGTTTGGTGGGATTTTAAAGGAATCGTTTTTTTTGAGCTTTTACTGGATAACACAACAATTAATTTGGAAGTCTACTGTCATCAGCTGGACAAACTGAATGATGCCATGTCTCATCCAGTGTTACGATACGGCGTAAGAAAGCCTCTCATTCGCGCTCATAGAGCTCCAAGTGTGTCTGAGCAGCGTCGTAACGCATCCATTTTTACATTTCCGTCAATTCATGCGAAACCTATCGTGGCATTCGCTTCAGAACTATTCCAGAAATTCGATCGGCAGTAGACCGCTCCATTCGCACCATCAACAGAACAGGCTCTGCTAACGGTATACTACGCCTTCCAAATCGCTGGCAATGGGTTCTACACAACTTTGGTGACTACTTTGAAGGACAGTAACAGGTGCAAACATGTAACTCTTTTGTATTGGTTGTGAATAAATAGTTGCCACTATTTAACACTTAGCCGACCGCTCGGGTAGATCTACCCTTTTCATCTGAGGAGCGCTTCTTTCTCTATAGAGCTTATTTATACAGGTTACAACATATAATAATATGCATCAATTTTTGAAATCTTTTTATGCTCATTATTACGGCTCTTTATTTTCGGGATTTCCGATGGAGTCTTTGCCAGCCATAAAATTATTTTCTAAAATACTATTTCAGAAAAATGCGCGGTGGAGAACGCAGTTTGGCTTTCCCGAGCGCGGTGGAAACTGTAGAGGTCTCTGTGAGGCGTTCGGTCAGCTAAATGTTAAGTTCCAACCTACGTACATTGTATATCATTGGAAGGAACTTTTGACAAACCTGATAACATTGACAAGCTAACAACATTCCAACCCAAAAGGAATGAAGAGAGGTATTTGCTGCGATCCACATAATCCAAGCATCGCAAGTAGCTGCAGCTACTAAATAATTATCTGCACTGTGACCATTCGTCAAATTAGTCCAACATTCAAACTGCCAGTATTGTACACTAGCAGATAAAATAACAATGCACAGACCTAACAACGATGCTAAAAAGCCTAGAAAATATTTATGATTGTGTGCTCCTGTAAATATATATCAAAATATTAATATTAATTTTAACACATAAATGAATATATACAAGGTGATTAACGATAAATAAAAGACACACCTAAATATCTCAGTTAATTATTAATTTTGTATTATCAAATTTCTAAAGACTAAGTTACACTATTTTAAGGAACACATAATATGGTAAATAAACAATTATTTTAGATTATTTTTTTCATAAAATTCTTTAAGGTCAATTTTTTGGTTCTTTTTTTAAATAGAACTATATATACTTTTTTAAAGAAATATTTTACATCTAAAAATAAATAATACATTACATTGGGTCATACACTACTGGTTCTTTTAGAAAATTTGAATTAATTACATAGCCTACTGGTGCTCAAAATGGTGACCATTAATTAACTAATGCTGTATGCACATTTTTTATTTTCTATAATTTTAACAATTGTCATCTAGCTAAAATTCTATTTTATATTATCAGGTGTGATTTTACTAATAAATTAAACTTTTTAATTGACAACATAAATAAAAATCTAATAGGATAAAGTCACTAGTTCTACGGTAAATTTTATAGCAATAGTGCAACTTGTTTTTTGGAATATTTTTTTCAATACGATATTAAACGAAGGAGATTATTTAGATGATCTAATTTAGCTGTAACACCCTGTAGATGTATATAATTATCTAAAATAATATTTACCGATACAATTATTAACCCAAGGACAATGATGATCAAATCTAGCGATACATCTATCGCATGTAGAACAATGCTTCGATCGTACAGGTCTCCTAACTAAACAACTGCTGCAAAACCATTGCGGTTCAAAACCACCTGCTTCGGCTAATTCTATTATTGTCTAAAAAATATAAGCGAATAGTATTTTCTTCTCATAAATCAAAAAATTGGTTTTAACACTAGATATACCAGACCAATCATTTTGACTTGGGTCGGGCCATTTTAATTCAAAATGTCTACTTCATGTAACATTTGATTTCTGTAAATAAATGTCTATAAATCCATTTATCTATTAAAATTATTATTGTTAAACATTTTTCGTTATTTTTTAAGAGTAAATAAAGACTGGAAGCCTCAAAAAGCATTTTATTTTATACACCAGTCATTTTGACTAGTGCGGTAGAAAATGGTGGTATATCTAGTGTTAATAAACATATAAATAATATATTTTAACTGTCTCTAACAATTTATATTTTCAAATTAAAATTACAAATAATAAATAATAAATAAATTAAATTAGAAAATGTTGTAGAAATTCTAAAGAGAATACTCTAATAAATTTTGTCCAATTTTTTATGACAATGACATTAAAAAAAAATACCCCAAACTGTTCTCAATGTTGTTAAAAAAATCTATCATGACGAAGGATGATTAAAAAATATATTTATAACTTACATTTAACTTATCTTCGTGACTTGCAGTAATTACTCCTGGATCTCCACGCCAAGATTGCAAGAAACATATCCAAAGAGGAACTGAACCTCCAGCTAATAATAACCATAAATACCAAGCTGCGTGAATGCCTAACCAAAATACCCATGTAACATAAATCCACATCTGAAATATAATTATATAAAATATATAATATAAAATTACTTTTTTTAATAATTTCTACATTCTATATATATATATATATATATATAGTTTATCATATTCAGAGATACTATTTTTAATGATAAGATTTATACGAAAATATGTACATTAAACAAAATAATAAAACTGATTAGATTAGCCTTGTTAATCTTATTAAGTAATTATTTAAAAATATATATATATATATAGAAAAGAAAAAAAGAAAAACAAAAGTATACGTATATATTGAATAATATATATAAAAGTAAACTTATATATAAAAATTATATATATAATCTTTTTTTCTAATGTCAATAAACAAGAAAAGATATTTATATTATTTTATTTTAACTTGATTGACATTATCAAAGCTATAATAAAATGCACGTTATAGATTGATATCTTAAACACTTGATTGCGCTTATCAGTATTACTGATGACGGATAATGTCATGTCACATGATAATTGTAAACTCTTACAATCTTAGTTAAACTCACCTTAGTAGCCAAATAAATGGACAATGGTAAGATATGAAATAGTCGTTCATCAAAGATAAAATGATTCGCTGAATATATTCCTACATAGAGCATTATGAAGGCACCTAGTTTTATTAAATAATCCAATCCACTTTGTAGAATCAATCCTATTACATAAAACACTATAAATGGTGTACTGACCATGCAATACCAACGTATTCTCTAAAAAAAAAGAAGAAATAATAAATAATATTTACAAATAGAGAATAAAAATAAAAATATTATTATTATGATTCTTCATGGATACAAAATTACCTTATCCCTGCACCATGTTCTCGTACGTCCTTGTTTTTCTTTAATTTCTTGACTTATTTTGTGACCCAACCAAGCAGCCCCAATATGAGGCCCCAACAATGTCATTGGAGTTTCATTTTTAAAATTTGGAACATCCAATGATGCACCGTGATGAACTAACGTAGATATTGCTGTATTATTTTTGGCAATAATAGCCCAATGTAAAGCTGTGTTACCGTGTAAATTATCTGTTAAGGAATGAGATGCTCCTAATGTCAATAACAATCTTGTAGGATCTAAACTGTAAAATGAAAAGCTTTTAAAGTAACCCAAATAGTACGGTTCCAATAAAACATAATATACAAATTGACTCCAAATCTTCCTTTATATACCTATTAACTTTGTAAGCGCTCCACATAAGAGGTGTCATGGCACTTCTATCTAGCATATTAGGATTGACTCCTTTCGCAACTAAATAAGCAACGATAGCAGTATGACCAAATAATGCTGCCAAATGAATGCATGAGAAGCCTTCGGAATCTCTTAAAGTTGGATCCGCACCTGCTCTCATCAATATAACCACAATACCTAAATGTCCTTGCCTGTAAAAAGAACACATCGTCAAGATAATGTAAAAACAAATATATATATTTGTTTTATACAAATTTGTTAATATACAATTAACGATAATAACCTAGTGGCCCAATGTAACGGAGTTGAAACTAATTCACCGCCAATAGCATCAACGATGGCTCCTTTAGCGATCAGATACTTAACTATATCTTTATAATTATTTATTGCTGCCCAATGCAGTAACGTTACAGTTTCTGCATCAGGTTGATTTACATCTGCACCAGCTTCTATCAATTCCGTAACACGATCCAATGCTCCATACTGAAATATATTATTTATTTATCAAAATAAGTACATACAAATTTATATTTGTTGAAGCGTTACTGTTATCATCGTATTAATAAGAATTAATACATAACATATACATCCAAATATGATTACCTGTGTAGCTCTAACAATATCGAAAGAGCTACAATCTTGGACAGCTGGTCGTGTTGGTTCTTGATGATGACTAGCCGGTATATCTGGTTCTCCATTGCCCTCCCCTTGGCAGGCGGTTTGCATTTGTAGCGCGTACATCCTATTTATGGCAAAATATAATGAAATTGGTTTTTGAACAAACAAAATAAGGAAAATAAATTTATAATTAAACGTATTGTAAGAGATACAAATCTTAACGTTAATCGATTATTTTTTAAAATCTATTTTAAATGCATGTCATATCTACCATAACCCTATACATATATATATATATATATATATACATATATATGTATAATATATATATATATGTACACATATAAATCCAAAGTTATTTAAACATCATTTATATTCTCAACATGCACATGGCACGTTGTAAAAGCACATTGTAAGGTAGATACGTACTATCTAAGCATACCGACGTAAGATTTTGTATTCCTGTCAGAGATAACGACACGACAAACGCAGTTACATTTTTTATAATATAAAATATAAAAATTGTTTTTTATTAATAATCAAAATGTCAATGTATATCATTAACACAAATATAAAATAAAGTATTTCTAATGCGTATAAAATAAAGAATGTGATGTGTGTATATATATATATATATATATATGTGTGTATAGTGTGTTTGTAGTGTATAGTAAGTGTAAAAAAAAAAAGAAGAAAAAAGTCGCTGTCAAGATAAACGATCGTTCTCTCTATCTATTTATCTCTTTCTTTCTTTATTTATTTCATTCTTTACTTATAATAATAAGGATTAGACGAATGAGAGTATCATTTTGATACGATAATTCAAATAATCCTTTACCTTGCGATTTTTTAACGGTTCTGTCAATGCTCGTACATACTGGCTCGCGTGATCTCGTAATACGAGACGCAAAGTTTAGCTTCAAAGGGGCGAATATCCATGGGGGATGGGGCGCCGGCTCATTGCGATGAAACCTCAGCAGGGTTGTCCGAAAGGCCAAGGGGAATGACAATACTACTATGTGTTGTCTATGTATAATAATGGAAGGGATATAAATGCTACTTAAGCGCTATCTAGTGGACAATTAACGAAACGTTAGTTCACGCGACTGCAGCGCCTCTTCTGTTACATTGGAGATTTATTTTCTATGGCATATCTTAACAATATATATATCTCTATATTTCTCTTTATAAATTAATAATAATCATAATACTTTGTATATTATTAAATATATATTGATTATATTATTCTTCTTATATTGATTATGACAAATGTAATTTGAAAAATACATTTTTTTTTCAATCTTACTCTAGGTCTTATTATATTGCTCATCTCTTTTATAATTAATAATAATTATAGAAATATAATGAAAAATTAAATATTTTAAATTGCAAAAGAGTAAAGACGTTTATTTTATAATATATATATATATAATTATATATTAATATTTCAATATATATTGAATTTTGTTTCGTTCAATTGTTGTTGAATGTATATATTAAAATATATGTATATTGAATTGAATTTCAAAAAAAAAAAAATATATATATATATGTTACATAATTATTAAAAGTATAAATGTTACCTGTTATATCATTATTTATGCATCATTGAAAATGTTTTTCTAATTCATTTTAAATGCTAATTACATAGGTGTAATTACGAACTCATATATTTAATCACACACACACAAGGCTATTATTTAATAATTTTTTCATAATAAAGACAAATTTTTAATTTATAATATACAGAAAAAAAAGATATTAAAATGTATTTCTATATATATATATATATATATATATATATATATATATATATATATATNTATATATATATATATATATATGATGTATTCAATTTAATTGAATTTATATTTAAATGTAATTACATTGAAAATTAGAAAAAAAAAGAAAAATGAATAAATATATATATATTATATATATTCAATATATTTTCAAATATATTATAGAAGAAAATATAAGTATCAATTTTACTTACACATCATATACGCTGCCAAGTTTATAGAAGCATCTATTATTGGTTAACGAAATGGGTTTTGATAAAAATGTAAAGTGAGCGATTTAATATTTTTTTTTTTTATAACACATTTTTCATTATCTTTTAAGTCTATGATAATTAATAATTAACAAGAAAAAAACCATTTGCATCAATGTGTCTACGGTAATTATTAAAAGGTACAATTAGCAAATTACCATGTTGTATAGTCATTTTGTGTAATAATAAGTAATAATATAATTGTAATATTTTCTTGATAATCATAGCGCGATTTTTCTTTCCATGTGTGATCGATCATTTCTACAAATATAATATATATGGGATCTAATTCTTTATATTATATATATATATATATAATATAAATATATATATATATATATATATCCACTTGGATTATTATCATTTATCCTTTACTACTATTTATATCATTTAACCAAATACTAAAAATACAAATGTGTTTTGCATAGAAGAAGGGTTTTTAAATCATCGAACCATTTATAATATAGTCTGATGATTTTAAAACTCATATCCGTTATACATACTGTTATATTTTGCAGCACATTGCTCGCATAGTTAAGGAGCTTATTAAAAGTAATTGCCATATGTAAAGATATAAATGGGGCACAAAAGTGATCACTTTGTTTTATTGATTTAATTATTGTAATAATGCTGAGAAAAGATGTAACACTGCAACGCGTTCTTCATCGTATTATTATTATTATAAAGCACCAATTGTTTAATCGAGCTTCACATGTATAACATTCTTTAAGATTGTATCGAATATTAAAAGTTATAACACATGTCACAATCAAAATATGATCTTTGGCGCGCTAATATTTTATCTTTCTTAATATTATATGCATACATATGCAGCTACATGGCAGATCGTACTTAAAAAAAAACTCCTTAACGATGTTAGCAGGCTAAAAATTCGTATTTTAGCTTTAAGATATATTTACATAAAAAGCTTAGCTCGTTTATAATCTATACAATCATATAAATGTAATATTCAATAAAATTGTAACATAATAATATCTAGCCTAACTATCTATATAAAGAGAATATTTATACATCGAAATTACAGGTGTACGTGTGTGTGTGTCTGTTTGTGTATTTTTTTTTTCTTTTTTTTCCCAATAATTCTTATACTTTTCTTGCACTCGCGTCATTATTAAATTACTATATATTACATATATCATTCTCCATAATACACAGGACTTGGATCAAAACTGAATATGTTATTCTCTTCATTTTCATTTTTTATATCATTATGTACATATTTATTATTTATTTATTTATTTATTTATTATTATTATTATTATTATTATTTTTCATTTCCCATCCAAAATAAGCATATGCTACTATATACAATATAAGTTTCAAATATATCTGTTGAAATATAAATTCCAATAAACATGCAGCATTTTTAACTAAATAAATTAAACTAATGTTGAGAATAGGAAGAAATTATATTAAAATAAAATTTGATTTCATTATCATATCATCACCAGCGTATCAGCAATTGTGATTAATTTCTTCATTTTTTTTGTTCTCTTTTTCTTTTTACGGATAAAATCAAATTCAATAATTAATATCTCGCGATAATAAAATAAATATTTAACAAAACATATTGCCGAGTAGTCATCGAACTCTTTTAAAGCAATTTCAGTAAAAGATTGTGAATTCATTTGTCCGAAGACTAGAAATTATTAGGTGTCCATGCGTTTATAAAAATAATAAAAGTATTTTCAACGTTTTACTCTATTTTAATTTTTTAACGTTAGAGATTAAAATGATATTATTTAAATGATAAACTTGAGAATGTTTGCATTTAAAAGAATGTATTAAAAAATGATTTCATTATAAAAAAAAGTAATATTTAAAAATTGTATTTAAAATATTATTATATTACAATTTAATCTAAAAAAAAAAAAAGAAAAAAAAAACATTATGATAAAATATATTAAAACAAAAATTAATATCCAATTGAGAATAGATTAATTTTCAATTAAAAGAAAGAATGATTTAAGGAATTGTGGAGCGATGACTACTGCTGGTATTACTTAAAATTCAAATTCTCAACCATTAATTTATATTTATACAATATAAAACTAGATTATCTGATCACGAAAACAATGTATGTAACATAAATGACATATACACATATTACATTATATTATGTATATACGCTTATGTTTATTATATCATAAGTATTGGCGAAATAGAGGGTGACGATACTATAACAAAGTTTTAATAAAATGATAGCGCGCGAAGAAGAATTAATGAATAAAAATGACAATGAGAGATGTTGTTGCACGATTTTTTCTTTTTATAATTATCACTAAAAATTATCACTAATTTATTACTAATTTATTACTAATTTATTTATTTATTTTTTTTGTTTTTGTTTAATAAAAATTTAAACAGTTCCTATAATATATATATATATATATATATTATATGTATATATATATATATATACAGAGTGAGAGGTGCTTTGTTTATCTTTACAAGAAATTATTTACAAAATATATTCATTCATATATTACCTATCAAATTAACATTGTATTAATAGTTTTTTTGTTTTTTTTATTTTTTTGTTTATACCTTAAATCTTATCATTTTCATATTTTTTATGCATGGTTTTTTTTTATGTATGTATGTATGTATGTATGTATGTATGTATGTATGTATGTATGTATGTATGTATGTATGTATGTATGTATGTTGTATATAATCCCAACGATCCGCATATTTTCATAAATAAAATAAGTCATTTTTAATAATAGCCTTATACCCCTGTGTATATTTTTTTTTTCATTTTGTTTTGTTTTCTTTTCTTTTGTTTTGCAATATTATGACTACCGACGAGCATTTCACTGAAAGACCAATGCTCATTAATTTAAAAAATGAAAATTGTGTAGTTAATATATTGAAAAAATCTAGCATAGGCATTAACTTAAGTTCTACAACAACAACAACAAAATTTGTTAAAATCAACCGCCATTAATAATCTATGTATAATCGATAAAGCATAATACTTAACTTAACGTGTTTATAATAATATTCATTTTCAAAAGTGTCATTTTTTATTTGTGGAGTAACTTGAAAATCAATTATAAATATATACAAAGGATTTTTCTATGAGCTCCATCATTTTTTTCAAATATATCAATTATTTAATATATCCAAGATTTATTATTATATTCATGAATCAATATTATAAATGAGTATAACGAATACTATCTTTGTATGCATGCATATTTCTCCGAATATGTACAAAATGAGAAATTAAAGAAAAAAAAAAATTAATTAAAATAAAAAATAAATAAATGACTACAAATATTTTAACATTTTTTAAATAATGTCTATCAGTGAAGTAATCGTCGGAGTAGCGACCCAAGCCCACCATTTAATGAAATTTATATCTGCAGGAATAATGTGTGTGTTTTATATAATCTTACGGCAGTACAGTCGGATTTTCATGTTTGACCTAAAATATTTGATCTTTCTTTTACCACTATTTAAATATTCCCATGAATAAGAAATAAAAATGATACGAGAAGAATAATAAAGAGATAAAGATAAAAATATTATTAATAAAGGAGCAGATTATTTATACACTCTTTCAATTGATGTAAAAAGAAATTCTTGCACAACAATATCTTGTTTGGATATATTCCATGAAAAAACGTCTAAGTATATATATTTTATTATATATATATATATGTATGTATAATATTATAATGCTGTAAATATTGACCTCAAACACGAAAATTGAACTTGACCGAATTGCACATATACATATATATATAATAATGCGACCTCCGTTCTAATAAATGAATAATAATAACTTGTAATTGGTAAAAGAAAGTTACACAATGACTCGGCAGTTATAAATCCAGTTTAGTTACTTAGATCGAAAATACGAGAGAGAGAGACGTTGAACAGATTCTGAGTAACTAAACTGTTGTTGCTGTTTATAGGAGTAAATCCGCAAGAGAGATAAATGCTGGACGGTGAAAAAAAAAAGTAGATAAAATATCTCATTTTCTTCCCACATGTTATATTTTTCACGATTTCTTCATTTACGATTAGAAAAATTCTTAGAGATTTAAGGAAAGTAACATCTAGTAACAAACACATTGTTCAATACAAACTTGTTTCTTCTTGTTATATATCATTAAAAGGAAACTCGATAACTTTGTATAGAGTATAGAAAAAAAAAAAAATCTATCATTCGTAATATTTATTTGTAATATTAGACAAATTGATATCTTTTGTTTGTTTTGTTTTTTTACACCGTCCAGCGTTTCATTTGCTGCTATAAAAACCCCCAAACATATACAGCAATGTTTGTGCGCTATCGACACATACACATTCACCAGGTGGGGTCCAGCCACACGGCGATCAAATAACCATTTATAACAGATAGATAATCAGACGGATAGGCCTTGACAAGTGACGGTAGCTAATCACTGTCAAGGTCACTTCCCGAGGGTCATTTGTTTTCTCGGGATATTCGCCTCCGTTTCGCCTGTTCTGCTGCCTCAGCCGTTACTAAAACAATGTTCCCGCTGTACGAGGTGTTTTCAATTAAAACGGTATAGGGAATAATATGTATAGCTTCATTTATATTCAAATTAATTTCATACTTTTTAACACGTTGACCGCCATGTCAGCCATGCATGGCCGACGCTTTTTTTTAGTGCTTACAAGGTACTGGGTCTACAAGTAAGTTTCCAGCGTTTTTTCATAAAATTTGAGGGTTCATTCTGAAAAAATGATTATATATTTTTTATTCGAAATATTGTCCATCAAAAGATATAATTTTTTCCCATCTTTCTGGCAATTTGTGAATTCCGGACCAAAATAAGTTCTCGTCTTTTGAGCCCAAGAACGTATTAAGCTAATTTTTGATTCCCTCTACTGAAGTGAAGCGCATTCCGGTAAGAGCGTTCTGCATCGACCGAAACAAGTAGGTAGTTGGATGGCGCCAAATCTGGACTATAAGGCGGGTGAGGCAGAATTTCCCATCCACTATTATCTAAGTAGTTTTTGACCGAAGCAGCAACATGTGGCCGAGCGTTGTCGTGGTGAAAAATTACGGACTCGTGCCTGGTCTGATATTCTGGCCGTTTTTCCGCCAATGCCCGTTTCAAACAAATTAGTTGGGTTCGATACAATGGTTCTTTGATGGTTTGACCACTCGAAAGCAGTTCGTAGTATATGACACCCTTCTGATCCCACCATATACAGAGCATGACCTTATTCATGTGAATATTTCGCTCCGGCGTCGATTTGACCGGCTCGCCAGGCTTTGCATATGTTTTTTTGCGTTTAGGATTATCATAATAGATCCACTTTTTGTCACCAGTGACACTACGATGCAGAAACGACTTTTTTTATGCCGCTGCAGCAACATTTCTGACATGTAAAATCGCCGTTCGATATCTCTCGGCTTCAACTCGTACGGCACAAAATTTCCAACTTTTTGGATGAATCCTAAAGCTTTCAGGCGCAGGAAAATGACTTGTTGTGTGACGCCCAATGATGCAGCAAGCTCTTCTTGAATTTGACACAGATCCTCATCCAGCAAAGTCTCCAATTCCTCGTTTTCAAAATTTTTCGGCTTTCCGGAGCGCTCCTTGTCTTCAACGTCAAAATCACTGATTTTGAACCGTTTGAACCACTCACGACACGTCGATTCACCAATACATTCCGCCCCGTAAGTTTCCAGAAGCAAACGATAGACCTCAGCTGCACTTTTCTTCATATTAAAGGATAGAAGCAGCGCTTCCCGCAAATGACGCTTATTTGGCACATAACTTGCCATGTTTTTGCTTCATAAAATATACGACACCGATAGAAATGCGCAAATATGATGATGCAATGTTGTTAACATTTCTGCCCGGAATCTACTCGTGACACCATCTATTAAACAACGCTGGAAACTTACTTGTAGACCCAATATATTAGTAAATATTTCGAATGATTTCCATTCAAGAAAGATTATTCTCTCCATAGAATAAAAATTTCTTTCTAAATGTAATATTTTATTACAATAAGTAACTATTGACATTATTGTGTAGCGTAGTATAGCAGCGCGCGCCGGCCTCACGGGGATTTTCTTGAAAACTAGCGCGTGGCGGTCAACGTGTTAAATTGTAATATATCAAAAATATATTATACGTAAATAAATAAAACAAAGAAAAAATTAGAGATATATTATTTGAAATGTATATAATATTGAAAAATGAATAAATATATTATGATTGAATTTTGAAACAAACATTATTGTATACATACCAGCTCCACTTCGAGTTTTTCTTCTATTTACATCTTCCGTAGATCTAGATGCACCTCTTGTATTGCTTGCCGGCGTTGCTAATGGTGAAGATGTATTCTGTCGAACTGATCGTCTAGTAGTGACTTCTCCAACTGATTCGTTACTTGACACTGAAGTACCGCGTAGCCTTTCTTTTCCAGCATTTACTGCTGTCGGTGTACTCGGTTGTTTGGTTGTTAATAAACGGCCTTCTCTTTGCACTCTATTACTGGCATTGAAATTTGATATATTACTAGAATTAATTGGACTGCCAGAAACAGTTGTAGTTGAATTTGTTCTAGAATGATAACAATTCATTTACATGGAATACTTCTCGTTAAGTGCGGCTAATTCAAGTTTACATTACGCTGCACGTAATCACATAGCAGTATTGCTTACTTTTGATCTTTAGACTTTGGAGAAGCAGCGGATGTTTCATCTGACAATCTCATTCTTGCTTTTCCTACAGATTCAATCAATGGTTCATCGTCAGAAGAATCTACTTCTACCACAATGGGACCTAAAAATATAAAATTATCAGATCGATTAGACGCAATTAGCGAATAAATCTAATCGATGAACTTTTTTATATTTATAATTGATAGACAAGGACAACTGACAACTAGAAATATTTCTGTTTTTGGCAGTCTTTTAAGAGTATTGTAATAATTCATTATAAAAAAAGAAAGAAAAGGAAACAATATATATATAGTAAACACACCTCTTTTAGTTTTAGCCAATATGTTGAATCCCTTTTTGGGTTCTTCTTTGCCAGGTATTTGCTTTTTGACGTTTCCAGTTTCGTCCAGACCCATACAAGCCTTAATGAGCTCCGCAGCATTTTCCGAACATTTTCGTTTTCCTGGTCGTGGTTGGGGATCATCGGCTGTGCTCGATGCTACAGAACTTTCACTTTCCTGTCTTTTTCTTTTTCCTACTTTCATAGTTGTTGTATTAGGAGATAACTTAGATGATCCCAATTTAGGACTAGCCTTTGCATAAGGCGATATACTACGTCTTTCTTCAACCTTATTAGGACCGTGCGGGCTGCTTTTTGGAGTTTTAGCAATATCCGGACTGTTTAATTTTTGCGATCTGGTTCTCAATGATCTTTTTTCATTACTTTCGCTTGGAATTTCTATTAAAAGTTGTTCTAGCAAAGATTTAGGTGGTCTTTTGATGTAATCATCCGAATTATTGGAGTTTAATCTTTCTACAAAATGTGTTTCATCGTTGTCTTCGATGCATATGACATCCTGTCGACCTTCCAACTCCTGTTTTCTTCTACGTTTCCTTTTGACATGCTCTACATCGGTGGTATCTACTTCGAGATTTTGTGCTGCTGGGCTTGGAGTTTCGTCTCTTTGTAAAACAACCGGATTGGAATATGTATACAATGGCGGTGTAATCCTAATTGGCTGTGGATCCTCGCCAAGAGGTGACTGGATACTTAGATTTTCGCAGGCCTCGTTAGCAAGTTTCTTAACCAAATCATCTGTAACTTTTTGAAGATTCATTGAAGGTTCCCTGACTGAAATTTGTTGAGGAGTTTGTACATTAGATTTTTGGTTTTGATCGGTACACGATTCTACTTGAACGGCGGAGCCTGTGTTCAATGATACATTACTTTTGGAATTATCTGATTGATCAACTTGCCTTGTGTCGTCCACTTTAACATTGATTACAGGCTCTGCTTTGATTTCCGGACTGCGACTCTGATTATTTGGACATGTATTATCTGCCACTGTGTTAGCTTTATTTGTAACCATACTATCGAGGAGTTTGTCTGTTTTAACTTTACTATATGTAACATGATTTTGAATTAGAGGCACACCATTATTATTCTGTCCATGAGGTTCTTCACTTAATCTAATTGCACTGTCACTTTCCGCTACCATTTTTTTTACACTGTCATCAAGTTTATCTTCCGCAGCTCTTAACACTTCCTGTTTAGAGTTTGCCGTACCCTGCTCGTTTTGGTTAATAGTACCTTCTAATTTACCGCTACAATTTTCTGTATCAGAAAAATTGCTTATTTGTTGATGCGCGCATTGTAATAAATTATCACTATCCATTCCACTGCTTATAGTAGTGGTCACGACAGTCACTGATCCTGTCACTAGTGGATTAGAAACACTTTTTTTTAGTTCAGTTATTTCTAAACTAGCAACCAAGTCACCACTAGTTCTTGAAGTTGATATCATTAGTGTCTTTTCACTAGGTACATTCTTACCATCTTCTTCACTAGAATGTGATACATTGCAATTAAGGTGATTTTCGAGATAACTTGCAACAGACACAGGACTTAATCTTTGCGGGGCATTGGACTTAAGAAGTTCCACGTGGGTATTTGAACACATATCACTACTATTAGTTGAGGAAGGCACGTTCTTATTGGTGGTTGGCAGGGATGGTTCCCCTTGAATAACACTTTTAGTGCTACTTTGTGTCACTGCTTCTGTCACTGGCCTATGTAAAGGTGATTCCCCCTGATTAGGTGATTTCTCTGAAAGAGCATCCATAGATTCTATTCCCGAATCTTCCCCACCTCCTCCACTACCAACTCTTTCTACGTTAGCGTCCACACCAATTCCAATAGGAACTGTTGTATTCTCTAATAACTTTTGCTTTACTTTAGCTTCAGTTACATTAATTTCCCCGATTGGTAATGTTGGCTTTCCAGTAACTAAATCATTGCTTTGAGGTCTGGGAACTTGGTCCACTGTGTTGCTGATTATTGAACTTTGTGATGTTTTTAATAAACTTATCCTTTGCGAATTATCCAATTTATTATCAATTACAGTTCTTTCAGCTTGTTTTATTATGTGATTTTGAGTTACTTTTTTGTTATTAAAATGCTCTATCTTGTGCCTGTTAATAGTAGCATTAGTGTCATTCTTAATATTCACATGATTTTTCAATTTCTGTCCAAGACTTTGATTTTTCGTTAAAACATTAGCATTCAATTTGCAATTGTCAATGTCTGGTTTATTTTTAACCATTGTACTTCTGTTTGCAGACTGTTGAGAAGAACATTTAGATGCCGCATCTGTGTGTACAGACACTTTAGCTTCGGTATTGCTCGACGCATTAGAATCACTTTGCATTATTACGTTTTTTGTTTTTAAACTTTGTGTTTCATTTTCATAAGGTACATTGGTAACATTCTTGATACTTAAAAGAGTGTTCGATGAAGAAGATTCAGAAGCAACCTTTTGACTGGTAGCCTCTGTAATATGACATTCTGTAAATCAATTACAAAATGATTTTTGAGAGTCTTTGGATTTTACAAAAGGTATTATAAGACCTGCTTTTAATAATGTAAACAAACAAAAAAACAAAAATAAAAAAAGTTAAAAATAAAATATAATGTATTTGGCATTTATAATAATGTTTAAAATTTACCTGCTGAATGCAAATCTTTTTCATCCATTAAACTTAAACGCCTTCTTTTCTCTTGATTAATTAAATCGCTTCTTACACCATTTATTTCCGTCAATCTAGAATTCACTGAGCTCAATGGATTGTTCTTTTCCACGGCTGACCTGTTTATGTCGCTGTCGCTGGTTCTCCTAATTTCTCCGACTTTTTTGACAGTTGTGAAATCGGTCCCTGTTAAAAGTGCATCAGACTTTCGTATCACTTGATTGGAATCACCTTTATAACCGAGTTTTCTCCACTTGGCTTGATTATCTAAAATTCTACCACCCGACAATAAATTTTGTTCTCTATGCATACCATCTCCAGATTCTGATTTCCTCTTGTTATCTCTTCTTTTGGTTTTACCTAAAAAAGAAAAAAAAAAACAAAAGAAAAGTTTCAATACATTATTATATATGTGTTTTAAAATATTACTTAAGATATTACTCTTTTATTATCTTACCTCCCCCTATTTTGTGTTCATGTGTATGATTTTGTACATCGACTTCCATTTGATTTTTCGTTATGTTTTGTTGCGGCGTATTTAAAGGTTGATTTAAAATAGGAGATTTATGTTTAGATGGAGATGGAATTCTACTGTTAAGAGGTATATCATCTACGTCATTATTTTTACTCGAACTTGGTTTGATCAGAGCACCTTGCAGCCTTATAGAATCTACTGACATTTCTTGTTTAAAGGCATTAGGTTTGACGACAGTTTGAAGAATGTTATTAACTTTATTAATGGTACTGGCGCTATTGATCATCGCTGAATTTGATAGGGGTAGTTTGGAAGCAGAGGCAGTACCTATAATCATGCTCAGAGATGATTTTTTTTGCAACAATTTGTTCCCGTCTATACATTCTTTCATTTTTTTCAATTTTCCTTTCCTCTTTACACTAGCTATGTCAGTTTCACCATCTTTCAAAGACTTTTTTTCTTTTTTCTTAATTTGTACTACAGCAGCATTACGTCCTCTTAAAGAAATGTGTAAGGGAGGCACTCGTGGTTCATCACCAGTCCCTGAGCTAGATATACCCGTGGTAAACATTTTGTTTACCGATTTATCAACTTTTCTAACAGGTGGTGTGTTTACAAATGATACATCAACTTTATACGCTTGGGTAACTGGTTCTGATTTTTCTAACTTTAAACGAAGTTTAATCTTCTCTCCGGGCATTGGACTGTGAGCAGAATCTCTGGTAGATTTTATTCTGCTATGCTTTAAACTTCCTTCGCTGGCTGTAGATTTAACCGTCGTTTCGGAGTCTGATTGATCTGTATTGGTCGTGGTATCGTTTCTTCTTGAAAAATTACTGTCTGCATCGTCGTCGGAAAAGATAGAGTTAGATCTATCATTTGAAGGGGATGGAAAAGGAAAGAAATCATCTTGATTATCAACTGCGCTTTCTGGTTCCGAATCAGAGCTCTCACTAGGCATCGGTTCTAAATGACCTGTCAAAGGATTTATAAGAAATTGCCGTATTTTTCCAGTTGACGTATACTCTGGCTCTGGTGTCTCCTCCTCAGGTTTTGGGGACTCTGACGTTTCCACTTTATTTGTGGTAGCAGTCGCAGTAGTCGTAGGAGTATGATTCATAGTAGAGCCACACTGAGAAAAGGCACCTGGAACCTGATTAGAGACTGCGAGCCTTGTTGTATTAACTTGAGCACCCTGTGGAATGGAACTATTTTGTGCATTCCATGTAGGTCCATTAGCATTGCTGATACAGGTCTGATAATTTCTACTGAGAATGTTTTGACTTTGCCCATAACGAAAGTCTGTTGTTGCACTTGTATTGACATTTATATTTTTCAATTGATTGTGATGTAATTGCTGTTGTACGTTCAATGTCTGACTTTGCTGTGTTAAATGAGGTTGTTGTGGTATTGGTTGCCGTGGATATGGTGGAGGAGTTTGTTGACGTTGATTACTTAAGTAACTTAGCCTTTGTTGGGATACATTCAATGTTACCGTTGGATGTTGTAGAACTTGTTGCTGTTGTAGAACTGGTTGATTAGGTAAAGATGTTGATTGCAATGGAACATTAGTACTTTGCTGTTGCAACAATGCTTGTTGCGTTGTAGGTCCTTGCTGAGTTACCAATTGTGATGTAGTTATGTTTTGTTGGCTTAATTGTTGCTGCTGAGCTAAGAGTTGATGATGTTGCTGTTGTTGTTGTTGTTGTTGCTGTTGTTGTTGTTGTTGCTGCTGCTGCTGTTGTTGTTGTTGTTGCTGCTGTTGTTGCTGCTGTTGTTGTTGCTGCTGTTGTTGTTGCTGCTGCTGCTGTTGCTGTTGATGTTGGAGTAATAATTGCCGCTGTTGTAAAGGTGTTCTAACTTGTCCATTCACCGAATGCCTAGCAGGAAGTTGACTCTGTATTTGCATTTGTGAAGGCCTGTATGTCAATTCTTGTCTGATAGGAAACTTTTGCTGTATTTGTACTGGGGTATGTATTGGTGGTGTTTGTTGCTGTATCTGTTGTATCTGTCCAACAACTGGCACTTGATGAACAGTTTGAGGTGTCATTATATTTTGACTGCTACTGCCAACTATATTAACCGTATGTTGCTGAGGAATCGACGATGGTTGGTTTGCATTGACAGCAGCAAATGCAGAAGATGGTGAATTTTGAGATATATCCGCAATAATGGCTGATCCTCCAATCAGATCTTCTGTCCTTAACGAATCTAAATTCGGTGGCGATTCACTTTGTACAGTTAGTTCTTTTCTTCTAACAGTTGGCTTCTTCGTAGGTCTCATACGATTTGCTAATCCTGAGTTATCAACAACAGCTGGTGGCAACATTTTCTGACCAGGTATCACATTATTTGAATGTGAGGTAGCATCATTTTGCAGAAGATTCACAAGTAATGGACTTGATAAAGCAACTTGATTACCACTACCATTAGAATTTCCTGTTAAATGATTACCATTGTTTGGTGACAGACTAGATGTTGTGGTAATCGGTGATTTATACTGAGTCGTCAATTGTCCAACTGTAACTACAGTTTGCGTAGTTGTATGACCGCTTGACAAGGCTGTGACTGCTGCCAAATTATCTTGTATTGGATAAGGCGGCGGTGGCTGTGTATGTTGCTTAAACTGAATTGTATTTTTTATTGTTGTTGCTTGTGATTCTCTACTATGTATTGCTTGAGCAGCATGCGTCATGCTGGCAAACGGGAATGGACCATTATAATTATTTCTGGATGAAGCAATAGAATTAGTGACCGGTTGGTTGCCAGAAGTACCAACGCCATTACTACCAGCCGTTGACGGCACAGGTTTTGCAAGAAAAGGTGGGATAGGATCACAGTCTGTCGGTGCCACAACATTTGGAGAACGAAATTGAGGAGCTTTCTCTGACGATGTACCTGAAATGTTATACAAAAAACAATAATGAAATATATATATATATATTTTTAAATATATTTATGTAATATTAAACAAACGTACTAGCTGCTATTATTTGAGCAACATTTCGTAACGCGGAAGATATTGTTGATGTATTGCTTGGACCAGGTAAAGCTATAGTAGGATCATTGTCAGCAGTAACTGAACTATTTGTAGATTCATTCTGAGATTTATTTCCAGTATCTTGCGAAGATCCTGAACGTAAGACAATTTCTTGTGCCTCGCCTCCAAATCGACTTGCTATCCTTAAAGATATAACCTAGAAATACATATAGGATGGTTGTATATTTTGGTGTATAGGATGGTTCAAAGCCAAGCATTCTGTAGGACCAAGTCACTGTTGTAATAGTCGTTTGAAATTACCAGCTCACATATATCACTATATCACACACTAATATCACATATATGAAACTTTTAGTTAAACGCACATATGAGTTCCTAACCCCAATTATGTAGAACGCATATATATGGCTATAGTCCACAAAAAGTTAATTACTTTATTAATTTTGCAATGAAAAAACTTGTATTACTGTTAATGTACCCTATTTTATTCAATAATATTATTAAAATCTATAAAACAATAAATATACCTGGTCTCCTTCAACCTGTACAGAAAGAATTCCAAGTTGAGTAAGCGTTGAAGAACCTTGCGCTGCTAGTTCTCTTAACCGCAATGCAGCTTCTCTTGGTATGGAAAATGTAACCCTGACAGAATTCCATGGTTCTACTTTGTTAACTTTTAGACCATCTCCTTTCTCTGCAAATGATAAATAATTGTTCTTTTAAGTATAAATAATTATTTTACATGATAAAAATAATTTTACTATTATATCATATCAAAAACTTATTTACAAATTATAAAATTACAACATGTAAATCTTCTTTAAGAAAAATCTTAAATAATAGTTTTCAATAGTTTCATGGTACAAACCTTTACAAAGTAGAGATTTAAGACGGTCAACGATGGTTTTAAATTTATGTGGAAATTCTGGATCACCAAGGTCACCCTCACAAGTTACCACCGTCTCAATGAGGTCACCATCACTATCTGCCGCCATGACTGTATTATATAATTTTTATTATTTATTTAATGAACAAATTCTTATCCACATTCTTAATTTAATATATATGTTAATAATGAATTTAATTAAGAAAATAAATAAATATTAAACGATTTTGATTTTAGTATTACCAAAACAAAGGAATACATACCAATCATAAATCACATAACTACCCAGGTAAACACCTCTGGGTACAAAGACAATAAATTTGTGATGAGATGTTTCTTCGTCGGTTGTAAACCGACAACTCCGAACCACTCCAGCACTAATGCACTTGCTTACTGTTTACAAAAAGAAAAAAGAATAAGAGTCAAAAATGATGATTAAAGTTCAATAAATAAGAAATATTATGCATACATTTAACTACTATAACATTACAATCTTATTTCATTCAAAATATTTATATGGAATTAAAAGGTCGAAAAAGAAAGATTAGAAAAAATATAATAATAACGACCATATTTATAACTTCCCATAATCATATATAGTATAAATATTAAGAATATTATTAAATAGAAGATATATAATATAATAATGTTAATATATTTAAAATAACCTAAAATATCTCTATTCATGTGTGCTTTATGTGTACGTATCATATATGATGAATTAATTGGAAGAAATAATAACACATATTGAAGAAATAAACAGATTAAAGTTAACAAAATTAAAATAAAATATATACAACTTTAAATATGTACAATATACCTTGTAAGCTTTCATATATTAATATCTAGTATTTATTAAACCTTTGAATATGGAATACATTTTAGCTAGTATGAGTTCCATTGGTTATACTAATTGTTAACAATAAATTATAATCGTTATTTTTTACAAATAAAACAATCTAATAAAATTGTTTGTTTTTTTTTCTAGTATAATTTTAATTTAACCAAATTCGAAACAATTATTAATACACAAACCACCAATTGCTTCATTTGTATTTGAATTAACATACACATATTACACTTATCCATAATCCATGTTAATCATTTTAAACAAACATATATATATGCATCTTTGCATCATTCAAAATATTAATAATATTACAAATATTGCTTTTTTTTATTATTATTATCACATATCAATGATTTTTTTAAATATAAATTTAAGACATGTTCTTTAGATAATTTATAAAAATCTATGAAATATTTTCATCCGCGTGCACATCAATTGTAAACACACACACACACACACAATAATTGTATAAAAATAAAAAAAAATAAGTTTCTAACTATCATATATTTTACTTTTCATATCAATTATTGTTTTTTTTTTTCTAAAAAGACTCAACCATATTTTATACGTTAAATATATGCAATATTTTGTGAGGGGAGGGGCAGTGGGTGGGAGGAAGGGAGATGGGGAGAGGGAGGGACAAACGAAAATAAACAATAGGATAAAACAACAAACATACGATACTCGAAATGTAACCTTATTAATTTAAAAGATTATAATATAAATAATACCGATATCCTTTAACGCGATCGTTGATTCGTAATGTTTATATGAACGAGAGATAGTGCTAGTCATAAACAAAATGCTAGGGATAAATATGACTAGGTTATAATTCGTCTATTATTTTATAAAGAATTAAATATAATTATAATGAGAAAATATGAAAATTTTATCAAAACGATTATAATATTTATTCTTTAAATCGATTGACACGGTGCAACGACGAGATAACATATTAAAAGAAAAAAGGAAATGAGAAGAAAGAAAAAAAAAATAAAACGAAAAAAAGAAAAGGAAAGAAAGGAAATAAAAATGGGGAAAACTAAAAAAAAATAACACGAAAGAAAGAAATAAAGAAAGAAAAGAAAAGAAAGAAAGAAAGAAAACAGTCTCACCATTTATGAACGGCAATTAAAATCTTTTAGGCCACTAGACAGGGGCACACGATTTTTATATAAGCAAAAATAGGTTATAGAATATTTAAATAGTACTAAGCGGCAAATTCAATGTATTTAGTTGATCTAAATAATGTAAGTATGTAAAAAAATAAAAGGCCTATCGAGAAATTCCATAATGATTTTTGACGAAATAAGGCACCCAGACCATTGGATATCGGGGGGCCACCATTTTGTCCGTCGGGGGAGGTGTACGTGAAGTGGGCTCGAGCATGTTGAGATAGACCGTCAAAAGATCCGGAAAATTTTTATTTGACGAATGTTTAATGCGTATCATTATTATGTTCGCTTACCAAATAAAATTAGATTCAATGGAAGGTTTATAGGAAACACATAAGCTGATTTTAGTCCTCACATACTATGAATTGATACCGTATGAACACAGGAAAATTTTAACGTTACCCCATTTCTTTCCAATTTCGTGTGGGATTTCTCTCGTCCAAATCGTACGGAGACACACCACTAAAGCACTTATCTTAACCTAAAATACACCGCGCGTATCTTATTCCACTTTCTGCACAATGCGCGCGGCGAAGATTGAGAAAAAACTTGACATAATCGGTAATATAAAGGGACAAGTCATAAAACGCCATGAACAATAACAAGGAGCCGCCATTTGCAATGCGAACAATTGACATGCGCAAATCAATCGCGCAGGGCATGCTGGGTAATTTTGCGGCGCCATCTTACTAATTATTTTAACATCAGAGTTTCTTTAACCCCTCATACCAATGTTTAGAATTATTATTCAATATTCACGAAAAATATTTATCAACGAATCTTAACCTAAGTTTATGAATATTTTTTTTACAAATTAATTATATTTTTACATAGGTGCGTTTATTGCATCTTTTAATCTTTGTTTAACAAAAATCCTCTTTTAACTTTTTTTTTTCATATTTTAATATTTTCTTATATTACTTATTATTACTATCAGTATATCAAAATATCGGTGCATTACTACACTTACCATCAATCTTATTCAACGAAACATTATTTTTTTAACGTATTTCAATATCTTTCTTTTTTTTTCTCTCTAAACAGTAGAATTATATATATCTTGAAACTGCAAAAATTTATGTATATATAACAATATGTCTTAACAATATTTTAAATAAATTTATGTTTTTATGAGAATTATCTTTTAAACCTTAAATAACCTCTTATAATATTTAGAAGCATATAAAACAATCTTAATTCATAAACAAAATATAACATTACAAATATTAATGAAAACCTTGTATTTCTATACGATCATATAGAAATAACAAATTTGATTTAATGTAAAAGTTTAATGTATTATAGACATGTGTATATAACAGATGTATATTTTATTTAAATTAATTTATATTTATATGAATACGGTTTACTATGACGAACTATGTACATTATTCAAATAATTACTCATAAACTATATGAGTATCTCCACAGGACTGCATATAACCGGATTCGCACATACGTTTGAGACTTGCTTCTGGATCGTACGTTCTGTAAATTAACGTTTGTATAACAATAGGATATAAAATAAAATGAAAATATAAACTTTACAGTATAACAGAAAATTCATAGTATTAAAAATGCTTATATTACTTGTAAAATTCTTCATATTTTTTCTTCCTTGCATCACCAATAAATACTTTGTAGCCTAATGTTGTAAGAGTTGAAGTTACTGTCATACCGATAAAAGCTATTTTCACCTTTCTTAACAGCAAATTACGAAGATTTGGTTTGGGTAATGCTTTTACTTCAGCAGAAGACATCTAAAGAAAAGAAAATTTTTTCTTATAGTCAATGCTTTATTCTATAATCTCAGGAAGGAAAATAAAAACAGTGATAAATCTAAATCACTAAATATATGATTAATTATTTGGTAATCATTTTATTTTATATAATTCAAAATGAAATCACATAAAAAGTTAAAGAAAAATATGATTATTAAAATATAAAATTTGAATATATTTTTCTCTAACGCTTTTTGTTAAAAAATAGACAAATTATTATGTAACTTGTATATAAAATTCTAATCAAAAGCTAATGTTATACAATGTACTTGAATTATTATATATTTCAGACGATATATTAATATACATACTTTGAATAAATATAATAAAATTCACAATAATGAAGGAAACGTAGTAATTTTCTCTATCTAAAGACGTTTATCAGTGACAATCCGAGAAGCTAACTATTTTCAAGAATAGACAACTAGCCATATGATATTTGATAATATAATACACGTTCCTTTAGGTAGTTCGTAATGCCATCTCGTGATTGATCCCAACTTCTTATTGGACCAACCAGAACGCACGTGTTACTCATTGGCCAATGGAAATAAGCTTATGACCAATCAATAAAAATAAGAACCAATCAAAATAAAGTAATCGATATGTTGTGTATAGAAAAAATAAATGTCATGTAATAATAAAAAAATTAATAATTATGGTCCACATTTGGTTTATTAACAATTAATAATCTAATATCATATACTATAATATCAAATTTAATTTAAAAAAATTTTAAATTATATCTCCAAGATCTTCAAGCCTGTTACGGCCCTGAGTAAAAGACAAAGAGAGAACATAATAATCTAACGTTGCAGATAAAATTTAATAAATGTATGTTTCTTATAAAATATTATTAGATCAGATAAAAATTAGTATATAAATGCATACGATATCTTATTTCCATTGATTAATTTTTCCACAAATTTATAATACGATACTTTATAAACTATATTAAATATTTACGTTTACAAAGCAGGTTGTATTATTTTAAAAAATCCAGCAGGTACTGGTCGTTTCCTTTCGGACATAGTTATTGGAGAAAAATCTAAATTGATTAATTGTGACATAACGTTAATTATATAACCTCTGTAGTAAGATAAAGTTTCTATTGGATTTCCATGCAACGTTAAGGCTCTCATATTACAGAGTTTTCTTAATTTTAATACGTCATTTATATTAGAAATGTTATTTCCATGTAAATATAGGATCTTCAAATTAGGAAATTTTGTGATGTCTACTCCGATTTCATTGATTGCGTTAAATGAAAGATCTAACCAACTTAAACAAGTTGGATCTTCTAGAACTGCTTTGGTAAAATTCTCAAGTCCTTCCATGGATCTTAATAAATTATTACTCAACCATATTGTACTTGTTGCAAAACGATCTTTGGACGTTCGTATTGGTGCTTTAACAGTTCGTACCGTCTGAGGTTGTTGATTAACTAATTCTTTTAATTAGTTAGTAATGTTATTATTAATATTAATATATATTTATTAAATATTATAAATATAAAATAATTAAGAAAGAAATTGTTATATAGTATCATTAGATTTACATACCATTCAAGTTAGTAGCTTTTTTGAATGAAAAATCCAATGGTCGTGCTATTAACATTTCTTCTCGTTCATTTCTTTTATAATGAGAAGTAAAATGGTTGTTTGCATTTTTGCTATTCATTATACAATAGCAATAAAAATGTAATAATTTATACAATATGAAATTTCAAAATAAGAAATTCTTTATAACAATCGTAAGATTAACATAACATAACGATAATCGATTTAACATCTTTATGCATATGAAATTAGCCAATCATAAACTTTCTAACGAGTAACGTACTTCGTATCGGTGTAGTTTAAATTTAAAATTATAAATGTTGTTGTGAAAGACTAATTAATCAATATGTTAATTAATAATTTGTTAAATTCAATAATTAATTATACAATTTATAATAATTTCGTAAATTTATATTGTAAAATAATCATTATAAATAATTTCAAATATGGTTGAATTTGTTCATTTGTTTGCTCGCTAGAGGGCAATACCGCTTATAACCTTACTAATAACATTTCTTTATATATTATTATTTTAAGGGTTGAAACTGCCCATAGCGGTAAACAGAATTTAAACATTGGGTAGAGCCTAATCAATAAAAAAGTGAAGAAAGTTTACTAGATTAAGTTAAGTTATTATTTATAATATAGTTAAATATAGATTCTGTTATTTTCAATATATTAACAATTAGAAAGCATGCCACGCACAAAGCAGATACGTAAATCGAAACAAAACCGAGAATCTACAGAAGAATCAGATTTGTTTCTAAAAGATTTTCAAAAGAAACTGCAACTTAGATTGACTAAATTAGATGCCGAAGCTAAAATGAGTATAGAGAGTTATGAGACTTATCACAATGTTAAACTAGCTGGTATACCAACAGAATTAAAGCAAATCACTTTAGGTGAAATAATTGCCTGGAAAGAAAATGAGAAAGAAAATTGCAACGAAGTAACATCATCTGTAAACGAGCAGTCAATATTCTATGCACCGTCGTCAACTTTGAAAACAAAGAAAACCAAGCGTGCTACAGCTACATCTGATGATGGCTACGTAACAGAAAGTACAACAGGAGGATCTACGTTCCATGTACCACGTACATCTCGTACGTCTCGTGCATCGAGAGCTAAAAAATTAGTTTCTGAAAATAAACCAAGAAGAGTAACTCGTAGTAGTTCCAAAAATCGTCTATGTTCTTATACTGAATTAACGCACAAGTCACAGAAAAAAGATGAATTAGATCTAGAATCGAATAACTTTAAGACACCGGCACCTTCTAAGCTTCTAAAGAACGAATATAATCTTATTACTCCTAAAGTTAAACCAAATACACCTTTGAATGTTCTCAGACGTCCACGCGAAGGAGAAATGGTACTAAGTATGCAAGGCAGTCCATTATTAGTTTCTGCTATCGTTCCAGATAAAACTGCTAATATTAATGTACCTTTGAGTAATGGAAACATTATGTCCTTATTACCCAATGATGGATTACGCATGTCGAATATACCAGATTTAGATCCAGAAACTATGCGTCAACTAGAAACCCTTAAAGACCATATTGAAAAAGTTATTTCATTGAAATAAGTTATAGGTTATAAGCAATGGAATTTGGCATTACAAATATGTAATGTATAGTTATTATTGTATTAACAAACGTCCTAATTTATGGATGGTATAAATTAATAAAGAAGAAAATTTGTTATTATATATGCGTAATACATAAACAAACATGACGACATTGTAATGCATCTTATTTTTATACTATTTTATATATAATATACCTTTTATAACTATACATATATAACTCTAGAAAAATATATTATCTTCTATATACTAATTTTTGTATTATTAATTAAAGTTATGTTATAAGTATGTATTTTATAAGTATATTTATAAATAATTAATAACTGTGGAATAGCTTAGAAATTCTTTTAAATATATTTAATTATTACAAATGTTAATATTTTTATTTTATCTTTTTATGCAGAATTTGTTGAATATTATTATATTTAATAAAAATGTAAAATGTCATATATATATATAACAAAAGTAAAAGTATTTTTTCTAATGATTTAAAGAGCAATAGGTTGTCTGATAAAGGCGCATGCGCGGAGCTTATATTTTGGGCTATGTATTTGTAAACGAATCTGCGCATGTGCAACATAAATGGAAAATGTCGAGCAAGTCGAGTGTTGATCTTGACATGTTTCTACACCTTTCTTGTGTACATAGCTGTGTAACCGTATACATTAATTTTAATATAAAAAGACTAATTATAAATAATTAATTATTACGAAGAATTTATCTCGTAGACCATTCACAAGTGAATTCCAATAAGTTCGTTATTATTAATCGTAATGGTCATTCTTTATTGAACCTACATAAAAGCTATTATTAGAGATAACTTTAAAATATAATAATATAACTTTGAAAAATAATAATTTGATATATTTATTAGGAACAAAATTATTAGATTTTTATTTATAAAAAAAAAATCAAGATGTACGTGAAATAATGATGATTTTATATAATTTCTTTTTTGATTATTTACAAGGTAAAAGTACAGTTTCATATTTGAGGTAACATAAATTATGTATGCTATTATTACGCATAATTTATATTATTATTATTTCTTTTTAATATTATAGGTCTTTCTCAAAAACAAAGGATTTAATTATTCTGTAATTATGCTTGGAAAGGTTATATCATAGCAAAGTAAAAATGGTGCGTGTTATAACGGTACATAATTTCTTGGGACAGAACGTTACCCAAATTGAAGAATCAACGGCAACATGTGTTGCAACAACTAATGGACGGGAAATGTTATTGTTAGCTCTTTCAACGCATTGCGTTGAAGTATGGGAACTGATGCCGTCTGACATCAAATTGCATACAATATTTCCAACCGTCGATATGATCAATCAAATATTACATTGTTCTAAAGGAGATTATGTTGCGACATTAGAATCAAAATATTCTAGAGACAATATAAGTAATACTCATGGGAACAAAGTTATTAATAATTTTGTAAGAATATATGTAAATTGGGCGGTGGTAAAGGATCAAAGTCAACCGATGCGAGCTAGAATTGCTGGTCGTGTGACTCCAAGTTTAAATCGACCATTAAATAGTTTGGAAATGATAGAATTGCCTTTAAGCATGCAACCATCGTTAATAGCTTGTTGTCAAAGTACTGGAAATTTGTTAGTTGCTTCGGGTAATACCGCTGTACTTCATGAATACAAAGTTGAAACGCAACAATTGTCTAAATTGAAATTTATTGATTTTGAGGCTAGACCTTGGTCCATAGGATTTTCATTTTCCCCAACGCATATGGAAATTGCGGAAGATTTTATAATTATTATGGATAGTACCAATTTATGCGTTTTTCGATTAACCAATTCTATGTATGAAGATATAGATCAACTTAGTTCGTTAACGTCTACCAACGAATCATCTATTGATAAAACTTCAATATCTAATGACTCCTCGCTTGTAGATAGTAATCATGTGTCTAATAATCAGGACCAAGAAACAACTGTTCAAGCAACAAATTTAAAGCACAAAGCTTTGGAGCAACAACACGTTACGTTAGAGAATAATGATGCGCTTAATACAAAGAGTAAAAACAAAAAAAATATTACATCAAAAATAAATACATGGTGCAAATCGGAAATAATGGATATCAAGAAAATCAAATCAAAAACAAATAATGAACTTATCGACTGGGATCATTTAATATATAATGAGAAAGAAGAATTACAAAGGTTGGTTACTCAAGAAATAATTGATACAAATTCCCAACCATTGACCGTAAATTTTCCATCTATAAGTTTGGAAAGAATTGGTCCTGGACATACTCTTAGTCCTTTTACTTTAAATCCGCCAGATATGCAAGTTTTTATTAAAACTAATTCACCTGATTCTGGCTGGTCTGAAAATTATACTGTAAAAAATCTCTTATCGCTTAGAATTGCTACTGCTAATAATAAATCTGAAGTAGATAGAAATATGGAGTATTTTAAATGCTCCGTGTTAAAACCGTTATATATGAGAAAGGAATGTAATGGATCTTGTATAAAGAAATCTATTTTAAGATCTGATAAATACAAATACTTACAAGGTGTAAGTTGCTTTGTATGTACGATACAAGAAGGATATCTTTATCATTTTTCAGCGACAAGTGCAAGTCCTTTAGATGCAACTTGTTTAACGACTTATCCATTTACTGCACCTGTTAATTACATTGCACTTGAGCATACAGTACTTCATGCATTGACTGACGTCGGTTTAGAATCTTACACATTACGCTTATCACATTACGTGGCAAAAATGTTGAACGATATTGATCAATACAAAGTTACCTGTCCAAGTATCTCAGAACCTGTATGTTTGATAGGATTGAAACCATTTTTGGGGATACAGAAGCTGTTATATACCAAAAATTATTTACTTTTATTAGCTAAAGCTGATAATTCTTGGACATTATATTCATTAATCTTACCTAAGTTGGAGACTGTATACTACGATATTTTAAATGCTGCAAGAAGTCATAAATCTTCTAGTCCCAGTACGTACAGACATTTATTGGGCGAGGCCCATGCTCTGATACGCTTAGCTAAGGATAGCTCTTGTTATGGTTTTGATAATGATGATGATGATACGGCGCACAAAAATTGGCTGAAATTAAAAAATTTGTATAATCAATCTTGTGCATTATTAGGTGATTATTATATACGTTCAGAATATGAATCGGATTGGGATTTATGCATACCTTATTACAAAATGTCAGGTTTAAAACCTTCTGAAGTTTTGTCAAGAAAATCAACTCAGGATGCACCAGGTCTCATAATATTTTTAACCGACATTCTGATGATAATGAGATGTGGCACCGAAGCTGATACCTTATTTCAAGGACACAATATTATAGAAATTATATGCAGATTAAAAAAACAAGAATTATTGAAACTAATTTTTGGAAGTGTTGTATTGAGAGATTATATGACAGATAAATTAATAAATTTACTATTATCGTATGAGATATGTGATCCGATTCGTCTTGCATTAGCATTATTGTACGTACAAAATCAAAAGCAAGATCATGCCGAAGACATTTTAGAACACGTTTCGGTACAATGTATTCAAAAAATGATTTTGGAACATTGGGATTTGTTATTTGAGATGACGGTGGTAAAAAAAAGAAGTACATTAGTACCTACATTTTCAGATTTTGCCGGAATGTTATTACATAAGAAGACTATTGCATTCGCTGATATACTTATACAAATAATAGAAGAAGATAACAGTAGTTTATCATTGCACCAAATTTTACAAGCCTTTTTAGAATATCTACCATCTCGTGTTGGTAGAGACGGGCACAATGCTGCAGCAGCCTTACAAATTTTTATAGAAAAATATTTTCACAATTATTTTAACGTTAAATCGATGTTCGACTTATCTAACATAAATAAAAATAAAATATCTTCTGATTTTGCTATGGTAGAGGCATTCAAATTATTGGTACGTTCGTATTTGGGTAAATTGACTCAAACTAAAACTTATGGTATCGAGAACAAAGAACGTAAGGATAATATGGACAAGGATTTTGTATTTGCAAAATGCAGGCCACAATACTTAAATAAAATGCCTCCTTATATGAAGGATTATCAAAAAATTTTAACTACCAATGATTTTAAAGATTTCATTAATATGACTGCAGCACCCGATACAGGAAAAACCGTTCATCCTGAATTGTTCAAATTACAATGCGTGCTATCCTATGAATTTCTACCGCTTGAATGTTTACAAGAAGTTAAACAATTTTTAGAATCTCAAAATATCGATGGAAGTTTATCGCTTAAAACAATATATATACAAAATACAGAAGAAGTAACAGTCATTTTAATGGATAATTGTCCTCAGGCGGTATTACAATACGCCAAGGTAATATAAAAATTTTGTTAATTAAATTATTGATATATTTTATGAATATTAATTATATCAAATTTATTCTTCAATTATTTCAGGACAAATATACTAAAGAAGTTGAATGGAAATATCTTATCGAGTTATTGCAAAATAGAATTTCTCTGTTTACCGAACAGGCAGAATTACATTGCATGTATAGCGAAATCATGAAAGGTAAGTTAATTATGTATAAAAAAAAAAAGAAAAAGTTATTTTTTGAAGAATTTGCTTTTTAACAAAACCCTAGTAGCACAAAATATTGAAAAATATTGAATACATATGTATTTAATAATTTATAAATAATTACTGAATTAACATAAAACATAATTAATGAATATATACTGTATATAGGTAATAAAATATGAAATACATATATATTTAATATTAAAAAGAGATTAAATCTCTTTTATTTCATATTTTATTACCTATAGAATAGAATAGAATAATCTCCATTCGTTTCCCCGAAGGATTACAATCCTTTTACATTCCCTTCAACCTCCTCCTTTCCTTCTTTATCTTCATCTCCCGCCTTTGAGTCTCTGTACTCTCCTCCTTCCACCCAAACTTTGTCCCTCTCTTCATTTTATTACCTATATACAATATATATTCATTAATTATATTGAATACATGTGTATTTAATATTAAAAAGACATTAAATCTCTTTTATTTCATATTTTATTACCTATATACTGTATATAATCTATCTATCTATCTATCTATCTATATACAGTATATATTCATTAATTATATTGAATACATGTGTATTTAATATTAAAAAGACATTAAATCTTTTTTATTTCATATTTTATTACCTA